TTTACGGTCTAATCAGACACCTAGGTATTTGTAGTTGTCCACATATTCTAAGTCAGACCCACCGAGAGTAGTGATTCTAGTCAGGCGGGCGGGTGCAAGCAGCATTCGATTGAAGAGCATGCATTTAGTTTTACTAGCGTTTAAGAGCAGTTGGAGGCTACGGAAGGAGTGTTGTAATGCATTGAAACTCGTTTGGAGGTTTGTTAATACAGTGTCCAATGAAGGACCAGATGTATACAAAATGGTGTTGTCTGCGTAGAGGTGGATCTGAGAGTCACCAGCAGCAAGAGCGACATCATTGATATACACAGAGAATATAGTCGGCCCGAGAATTTAACCCTGTGGCACCCCCATAGAGACTGCCAGAGGTCCAGACAACAGGCCCTCTGATTTGACACATTGAACTCTATCTGAGAAGTAGTTGGTGAACCAGGCGAGGCAGTCATTTGAGAAACCAAGGCTATTTAGTCTGCCAATAAGAATACTGTGATTGACAGATCGAAAGCCTTGGCCAGGTTGATGAAGACGGCTGCACAGTACTGTCTTTTATCGATCGCGGTTATAATATTGTTTGAACAGCACAGTACAGCATAGTACATGTATAAATCAATGTCCTTAGACGTTGAAATCAAGGCCGGTCCGGACTGCACCAAAAAAAGACTGCTGCTTAGGTTAATACACCACCACTATGTTGCTTAATGTTTAACTCAATCTCTCTCACCTATAGGCACAGTGTTTTTTCTCACCTATAGGCACAGCAGTCTATTCAACTCTGTCTTCATTCTTCCTCTCTACATTTACAGTATACTCCATAGTCTTTCCTTGTATGTTCATATATTCAATATCCATACTGATTCATTAACCCATAAATTTGGTGTTGCAAGCACTTTGCTCCAACAACCGACTAAGCCGTCTTACCACAAACATTTAGAGAAATGCCCCTCGTGTTGTGTTTGTGTGAATGTGGGATGGGGTATCGTCATATACACTACATGGCCAAAAGTATGTGAACACCTGCTCGTCAAACATCTCATTCCAAAATCATGGGCATTTATATGGAGTTGGTCCCCCCTTTGCTGCTATAACAGCCTCCACTCTTCTGGGAAGGCTTTCCACTAGATGTTGGAACATTGCTGCGGGGACTTGCTTCCATTCAGCCACAAGAGCATTAGTGAGGTCGGGCACTGATGTTGGGCGATTAGGCCTGGCTCGCAGTCGGTGTTCCAATTCATCCCAAAGGTGTTTGATGGGGTTGAGGTCAGCGCTCTGTGCAGGCCAGTCAAGTCTCCCGAGTGGCGCAGTGGTCTAAGACATTGCATCGCAGTGCTTTCTGTGCCACTAGAGATCCTGGTTCGAATCCAGGCTCTGTCGTAGCCGGCCGCGACCGGGAGACCCATGGGGCGGCGCACAATTGGCCCAGAGAAGCTACGTCTGGTAAGACGAGGGGCGGGGGTGTGTGTCTATTTGTCAATAACAGCTGGTGCACGATGTCGAATATTAAAGAAGTCTCGAGGTATTGCTCGCCTGAGGTAGAGTACCTTATGATAAGCTGTAGACCACACTATCTACCAAGAGAGTTCTCATCTATATTATTTGTAGCCAACCGATGCTGCCACTAAGACCGCACTCAACGAGCTGTATAAGGCCATAAGCAAACAAGAAAATGCTCATCCAGAAACGGCACTCCTAGTGGCCCGGGACTTTAATGCAGGCAAACTTAAATCCGTTTGACCTAATTTCTACCTTTACTCCACACACAGAGACACATACAAAGCTCTCCCTCGCCCTCCATTTGGCAAATCTGACCATAATTCTATCCTCCTGATTCCTGCTTACAAGCAAAAACTAAAGCAGGAAGTATCAGTGACTCACTCAATACGGAAGTGGTCAGATGATGCGGATGCTACGCTACAGGACTGTTTTTCTAGCACAGACTGGAATATGTTCCAGGATTCATCCAATGGCATTGAGGAGTATACCACCTCAGTCATCGGCTTCATCAATAAGTGCATCGATGACATCGTCCCCACAGTGACCGTACGTACATATCCCAACCAGAAGCCATGGATTACAGGCAACATCCGCATCGAGCTAAAGGCTAGAGCTGCCGCTTTCAAGGAGCGGGACACTAATCAGGACGCTTATAAGAAATACCGCTACGCCCTCAGATGAACCATCAAACAGGCAAAGCGTCAATACAGGATTAAAATGTAATCCTACTACACCGGTTCTGACGCTCGTCGGATGTGGCAGGGCTTGAAAACTATTACGGACTAATGTAAGTCGCTCTGGATAAGAGCGTCTGCTAAATGACTAAAATGTAAATGTAAATGTACAAAGGGAAACCCAGCCGCGAGCTGCCCAGTGACGCGAGCCTACCAGACGAGCTAAATGCCTTTTATGCTCGCTTCGAGGCAAGCAACATGGAAGCATGCATGAGAGCATCAGCTGTTCCGGACGACTGTGTGATAACACTCTCGGTAGCCGATGTGAGCAAGACCTTTAAATAGGTCAACATTCACAAAGCTGCGGGGCCAGATGGATTACCAGGACATGTACTCAAAGCATGCGTGGACCAACTGGCAAGTGTCTTCACTGACATTTTCAACATCTCCCTGACCGAGTCGGTAATACCTACATGTTTCAAGCAGACCACCATAGTCCCTGTGCCCAAGGAAGCGAAGGTAACCTGCCTAAATTATTACCGCCCCGTAGCACTCACGTCGGTAGCCATGAAGTGCTTTGAAAGGCTGGTCATGGCTCACATCAACAGCATCATCCCAGATACCCTAGACCCACTCCAATTCGCATATCGCCCCAACAGATCTACAGATGACGCAATCTCAATCGCACTCCACACTGCCCTTTCCCACCTGGACAAAAAGTACACCTATGTCAGAATGCTGTTCATTGACTACAGCTCAGCGTTCAACACCATAGTGCCCACAAAGCTCATCACTAAACTAAGGACCCTGGGACTAAACACCTCCCTCTGCAACTGGATCCTAGACTTCCTGATGGGCCGCCCCCAGGTGGTAAGGGTAGGCAACAACACCTCTGCCACGCTGAACCTCAACACTGGGGCCCCTCAGGGGTGTGCGCTTAGTCCCCTCCTGTACTCCCTGTTGACCCACGACTGCGTGGCCAAACACGACTCCAACTCCCTCATTAAGTTTGCTGACGACACAACAGTGGTAGGCCTGATCACCGACAACGATGTGACAGCCTATAGGGAGGTGCCAGGACAACAACCCCTCCCTCATTGTGAGCAAGACAAAGGAGCTGATCGTGGACTACAGGAAAAGGAGGTCCAAACAGGCCCCCATTAACATCGACGGGGCTGTAGTGGAGTGGGTCGAGAGTTTCAAGTTCCTTGGTGTCCACATCACCAACAAACTATCATGGTCCAAACACACCAAGACAGTCGTGAAGAGGGCACGATAACACCTTTTCCCCCTCAGGAGACTGAAAAGATTTGGCATGGGTCCCCAGATCCTCAAAAAGTTATACAGTTGCACCATCGAGAGCATCCTGACCAGTTGCATCACCGCCTGGTATGGCAACTGCTCGGCATCTGACCGTTAGGTGCTACAGAGGGTAGTCCGTACGGCCCAGTACATCACTGGCGCCAAGCTTTCTGCCATCCAGGACCTATATACTAGTTTCTGATTTTTGCAATGTTACGTAGATGGAAAAAAGCTGTCCTTGAAACAGTCTTGATATGTTCGTCAAAAGAGTTATTGAACAGTTATTGTGCTGACGTTGCTTCCAGGGGCAGTTTGGAACTTGGTAGTGAGTGTTGCAACCGAGGAAAGACGATTTTTATGCGCTGCGCACTTCAGCACTCAGCGGTCCCGTTCTGTGAGCTTGTGTGGCCTACCACTTCGCAGCTGAGCCGTTGTTGCTCCTAGACGTTTCCACTTCACAATAACAGCACTTACAGTTGACCGGGGCAGCTCTAGCAGGGCAGACATTTTACAAACTGACTTGTTGGAAAGGTGGCATCCTATGATGGTGCCACGTTGAAAGTCACTGAGCTCATCAGTAAGGCCATTCTACTGCCAATGTTTGTCTATGGAGATTGCGTGGCTGTGAGCTCGATTTTATACACCTGTCCGCAACGGGTGTAGCTGAAATAGCCGAATCCACTAATTTGAAGGGGTGTCCACATACTGTTTGCCTTGTAGTGTATGTGAGAGTGTGAGTGTGAAACGATCAAACAGGTATTTATTTTTTCAGTCTTTATTGAAGCTGGTGTGATCACAGATTGTGAATTGCAAATATGAATCTCGTCAGATTGGATTGGCCATATTACTGCAGTCAATATTAATTACTGTCTCATTAACACTCAGTTTTGTAACGACAGATCAGTTCCATGCCTGTCTGTTTATGTCCTAGTTAGTGGTTGTAATGTTCTGTCAATCCATTGGATTAGTTAAGGGGAATTTAATTAGATGGACTTGAATTCTTTGCTGCTCAAAATTACAGACTATAGAGCTGATTTAATCTTTTTGATGTAATTTAGCCTCACAAAAGCATGTGAAATCAAGACTATTCTTAGATCAAAGAACAACCTTTTCAGTGAGCTGAAAGCAGTTGGAATCCAAGGACATACAAATAGGCAGAGACATGCACAAGCATTTAGGGTGATTGTAGATGTTCTAGCATGCATGCATACAAATACGTTGGAGGTCCTTTTAAGAGTGACATCTTTTTTGTTTTCATTTAATTGTATATGAGGAGATTTATACAATTCTCTTTGTAGAATGCCAATGTGTGTGCCGATCCTATACCACACATCCATCACGTAAACATCCCAATAAATTATTAGAATGATCACTGGATGGGTTTGTGTAATTTACCGCTCTTAACTATCCCAACACCTCTGACACACACACACACACACACACACATACCAAAACTGGAGAGTCATAAATAATTAATTTCACATCCTCCTCTCAATCTCAGTGTTGTTTTCATATCCCAATTTTCCTCCAACAATGGGCTCCTCTGCCTCTAGGCTATGCGACGCAGACACAGCAGGAACACTGAGACAGGGAGGGAGTCAGTGGTGGCCAACCACACAAGGGGACATGCGTGACCACTATGGCTGACTGATAATGTGGTATGCCAGGGTTACGGGGATGAAGCAGCGTAGCTTCCCATACTCTGTTATTTTTGTTCATGTTCAGTGACCCTCAGCGATATCCTGCAGATGGTAGGGTGATGTGTGTGTGTGTGTGTGTGTGTGACTGCGGTAAGCTGTCAGTGTCATCTTTAGCCAAGCTGTGAAGAGGTGTTTGCATCTCATCTCTTTCCTAGTAGTCAGTTCATCAGTGCATATTTCCTGTAAAAGAGTGTAAAAGGCCTATCGCTGGCTTTGGGTTTGTGGGAACGAATAACAAGTGACTCTGTAACCAGGTTTCCATCCAACATTTTTATGCCAGTAAAGTACATGTTGGATAAAACATGTCACCACAGGCCTGATGGAAACATCTTTCAGTAAACTTTCAAAATGTTGACAAAACAAAATTGCTAGACAAGGTGGAATCTTTTTGTGTCGGTAAAATGAATTATACGACAAATGTCAGTGGAAATGCTTTTATGTGCAAATATTGATATAATAACCATCATATGGAAGTAAACATGAAGTCACGCGATGCCATGTTGTGTGGTCCTCCCACTAAGTCGGGAAAGCATGCAGTCTATTAGGCTACAGATGAAATAAACTATGATGATCTTTTCAGGGTGATGAAAGTGCAAGGTGATGAGCTTGATGTTCCTTTCCATTAAATATTGAGTGTTTTATTCTGGTGACATGATCATCGATGCAAGGTTGCGTTTGGCAAATGAAAATAATCTCGCTCTTCTGTCCATAATAATCTCATAATGTAGGCTATAGGTGCTCTCTAGCCAACAGCGCTCATATACAGTTCTGTATCTTCGCGCTGTTGGCTACTATTTATATAAGGCAAAACATTTTGGTGAGAAAATCATCAGTAGAGTTGAAAATGTGATTGAAACCCATTTAACTTGTATTTTTTATTTGGTACATGTGAATTTAACTGCAAAATGTATTTTTATGTGCACTACACCATCATGGACAGCATTTTAGCCTTTTATATGCATGATTCAGTTCGGCTGTGTGTTTGCATGCTCCCTAAAAAGACGTTAGCTTGGAAAAACTGAAAAAAGGGGGGAAAGCGGCAATTTTACCCCGCGACAGTAGAGGGCGATGAGCTGGTAATAGCCATCTACGGCCAAACAACGAAGTAATAACACACTCAACTGGGAATGGGAAGATGGCGGAAGCGGATGATGAAGTGGAATCTGAATACAATGGCAGTAGAATCAAGGATAACTGGAGTATTGTTCAAAAGAATGGGAAACGGAGCAAAGTAGGGTACAGTGATGAGAATGTCCCTTCGTATCTAGTAGGAGTACGGTTCGTTAATAAGGAGCAGCTGAGCAGAGAACCAATCTTGAAGAAACCATTTGAGTTATCCAAATTGGTGGAGAGAGTGCTGGGTAAAGTGAAGGCTGTGAGGATCACGAGGGGTGGGCTTGTGTTGATTTTTTTGTGATTCTGCGGATCAGAAGGAACGTGCGTTGTGTCCAGTGGTGGAAAAAGTACCCAATTGTCATACTTGAGTAAAAGTAAAGATACCTTAATAGAAAATTACTCAAGTAAAAGTGAAAGTCACCCAGTAAAATACTACTTGAGTAAAAGTCTAAAAGTATTTGGTTTTAAATATACTTAAGTATCAAAAGTAAATGTAATTTCTAAAATATACTTAAGTATCAAAAGTAAAAGTATAAATCATTTCAAATTCCTTATATTAAACAAACCAGATGGCACGATTTTCTTGTTTTTTTATTTACAGATAGCCAGGGGCACACTCCAACACTCAGACATAATTTACAAACGAAGCATTTGTGTTTATTGAGTCCGCCAGATCAGAGGCAGTAGGGATGACCAGGGATGTTCTCTTGATAAGTGTGTGAATTGGACCATTTTCCAGTCCTGCTAGGTATTCAAAATGTAACGAGCACTTTTGGGTGTCAGGGAAAATGTATGGAGTAAAAGGTACATTATTTTCTTTAGGAATGTAGTAAAGTAAAAGTAGTCAAACATATAAATAGTAAAGTAAAGTACAGATACCCCCAAATAACTACTGAAGTAGTACTTTAAAGTATTTTTACTTAAGTACTTTACACCACTGGTTGTGTCTTAATCGATTTGATACTTTTGAAGTGTTGTGTGTGTCTCTTCGGAACAGGGCACCCCTCAAAGTGGTTATATCTGGCGTTTCGTGGGAAGTTGATTTGGAAGAGATGAAAAATATTCCTGGAGTGATTGAAGCACGTCGGATGAATCGAGTGGTGAATCGGGAAAAAGTGAAGAGTTTATCTGTTCTTTTGTTTTTTTTAATGGAGTCTCCCTAATGAAGTGCGGTTAGGGTATATTAACTACAGAGTTAGAGTATTTATCCCAAGAACAATGCAGTGTGAACATTGTAAAGGTTTTGGTCATGTAGAAAGTGTTTGCAGAAGGGAGAAGCCGAGATGTACAAGATGTGGAAAATATCATATTATGTGTTATAAAATTGAAGAAAATGTGACATGTTGTAATTGCAGTGGGAATCATGAAGCCACGTCTTCTGAATGCCCCACAAGGGAAAAGAGAATGAGGTGGCCAAAGTCAGGGTTGTACAGAGCATTTCATATGCAGAAGCTGTGAAAAGGGTTGAGGGTTTGAATGTTGCACCAGAAGAGTCCATGGTAGTGAATAGGTCTTCACTGCAGGCTGCAGGGGTTGTCTTGCACCAAGAGGATCCTGACATTTTAAAGGTTAAAAGGGTGGACTTTGTGGCCTTTATCACAATGGTGATAAATGGCACTGCCAAGGTGGAGAAAAGATCTAGGAAGATTGAAATCATTGTGTTTGTGGTGGAGCGGTTCCTGGGGCTGAAAGATTTCACAGCAAAGGAGTTACATGGAATATTAGCAAAAGCAGTACCAACTTCTCAGGTCCTAGAGCCTGAGAAGGAAGATATGGAGAACTAAAAGAAGGAAGAGATGTGAGTTTTGTGTGTTTAGGCAATGTACTATTTTTATTAGGGTGGATTGTTAGAATCACTATTATTATTACTATTATACTATTATTATTATTATTATTATTATTATTGATTTATTTTTAACTGTCCAGTTGGTGGCGGCAATACAACTTGGATGTAGTCTGCCATAAAACCCACAGAAGCAGAAGAAGGCACTTGACTGGGAGGGAAGATGGCAGAAGTGGATGAACAGTTCGGATCAAGCAGCGCGTCAAGCAAAGTTGGTGAAGACGAATGTTCTGAATGGACAACAGTAGTATCGAAAACTGGAACAAAAAGGAAATTATCTAAAATTGGATTGGAGGATACTTGTATGAATGATAATGAATTGCTTCTTGTTGGGATGCGTTTGTTGCGAACAAGACATGCTCGGGGTATGACTATCTCCAGATCTTGAGATATGGCTTCAATCATTTGCAATGCCTTCGTAAGTGATGTGTCAAGGACTGAGTCTGCAGCTCTTTTCTCCCTTCTTCTCACACACCTGCTACTGCTGCTGCTCTGTGGCATCGCTGAGGAGCAAGCCAGTGGAGTAGGTCTTGGAGGTTGGCCCGGAATAGTGCTTCCCAGGTCCTGCATGGAGATTGTTTCTGATTCTGCACTGCAACTCAGTGCGGGAGATGGGCTGGGAGCCGATCACCAGTCAGTACTGGGGATAGAGGTAGTGCTTGGGGCCGGTGAACAGGCTGTGCTGAGGTGCAGAGAACAAAACCAGGTGCTGTCTCCATTCACTGGTGGCTGTGCAAGTGGTAGGGTTGGACCCCAGCGTCTCCGCAATCTCCCTCCTGAATTGGCATTTGCATGCTGGTCTTTATATAATGCATGACTAGAATCGTACTGGTGAAGGTACTTTTGTACCTCCTTGGTCAATCAATGCTCGAAGTTGTCGTTCGCCATGTTGAATCCACACTGAGTTTCGGGCTGAATCGACAAGAAGCAGAAACTCACATCACCCCTACAGTTGACCGATCACGGACGAAGGGGCGTAGACTTCGGCTTCTGAACTTCAGCTGGCCCTTGAGAAAAATTGTTGTGTGCCCGAACAAAATGTAGTCATAATATATGCACAAACTGTACCAAACTGGGGGTGGAAATATCTTTATAATACAACTTTAGAAAGAATATGTCGCTGCTCTATATTGTTGCATTGCTAGAAAGCTGTAAGCCTTTTCGACAGTCTTGAAATGCGGTAGACGACTCTGTCTCTCACCTAGAGCTCATTTGAAATACAGCCCCATAATCTCTTTTGAAGTTTCCCTGTACTGTACTTTCTCTCAGCGGCATGTGGAGACTTGTTCTCTACAGAGCTGAGTGAGAGAAAGAGAGAGCGAGAGAAGGTGGAAGAATTTGGCTACTACATGAGGCACCTGCAGAGTTGCTTTCAGAGCGTGACACCCTTGCCTTTTCTTACAAAGAGATGCTTCCTCTAACAGTAAACAAGTGATGCAAATGAACACATGGAAATGCCTGAGCACTTCCCCTTTTAGGAAATGGAGACAAACGGAAAACACATTGATATCTTGATGCAGTGAACAAACGCTGCTATCTGAACAATTTTATTTGGACTGTCGGCTTATGGGGGAAAGAATTGCCAGAGAGGCTTTAATGTCTACAAAATTTTCTATATTATGAAACCTACACTATCTCTTGGTTTATCACCCGTTGGCACAATGTCCTGTTAAAGCCACATTAGTCTGAAATATGAGTGTATTCTCACAAAACTTTCACAAACTGAAGTTGTTGAGTATTATCAGAAGTAAAACGATGTCGGTGGAACTTTAGTTGAACAATGCTGTCGGTTTATCACATAAACTTCACACAGTGGGAAAGTACACTCTTAAAAAAAAAAGGGATCCAAAAGGTTTCTGCGGCCATAGTATCACCCTTTTTGTTTCCAGGTAGAACCTGTTTTGGTTCCAGGTAGAACTCTTGGGTTCCATGTAGAACCCTCTGTGGAAAGGGTTCTACCTGGAACCAAAAGGGTTCTACCTGGAACCAAAAGGTGTTATTCAAAGGGTTATCCTATGGGGACAGGCAAAGAACCCTTTTTGGTTCTAGATAGCACCTTTTTTTCTAATAGTGTAGGTGAGCCCTCAGCCCTGCAGGTGTGGTGCTTCACCTAGGGGTCTCCATGGTTGCCCACTGGGCTGTTCATAGATACACACATCGTACTTACACACCTTTGTGCTGAAGTATCACAGTGGGCTGATCTAGAAAAGCAGAGTGAAAAATGTAATCCCTTATTGTACACCATCGTGAAAGCTGTTGAAAATGTAGGTCTAGATTCTATCAGATCCGCGGTAGTCGACACCCGCATAGCGGTTGTTTTGGTGGTGTCGGAGGTGGAACTGCATTAGAGCTATCAAATCCACATGCAGCTCCCAGCATTATATCTAAAGCAGACATTGCCATTGGCTGCATAGTGTCGCATTAGGAGAAATCCCATGCTGCCTTGTTTACAAGTTCAAACACTGCAATGCTTTTACATCTGCGTTGCTTGCTGTTTGGTGTTTTAGGCTTGGTTTCTGTGTAGCACTTTGTGTTATCTGCTGATACATTTGATTGATTGATTGATTGATTGATTGATGTAATCTACTCCTCGATTAGGATGATATAAATCCTCCTATTTAGTTGAATGATTTTTATTTTGAGAGTCATTATTTCTATATAGCTACACTTTCCTGTTCTGAACTTCTAACACGAGTGGGACGGTGTGGCTTTGTGACAATGACCACACGAGCAGCAGTTCTGATTTGACAGCTCTAACGCAGTTACACCTCGGACACCGCCAAAACACCATCTCTACGGGTGTCAGATATCGGCGGTTACATTTTTAATCTGATTGAATCAAGGCCTGAGACTGGCCACCGGTCTGCATTGCTCTCTGTGTCTGTGCTTGTCTGTCTGTCTGTCTAAATGTGATTTTGCCTGTCTATCTGACCAAGCTATCTCTATCTCTATCTCTTACAGGTACCTTGGCAGCTGGCGAGCACAGTTTCCCTTTCCAATTTCTCATTCCAGGTAAGTTTGGGATAAGTCTGGAAAACATGTTGAACTGCATTCCTCCATGTCAACCACACTGAGGTCCATCTCATTATTTTTTATCAGTACAGTACAGCTGAACTGTTGTTGGTGACTGACGGAATGTGGTTTCAGGTATAACCACTGATAACGTGAATATAGAAATGACACTAATGTCTCTGCCCTTGTGCTACATGCACTTTAATCTTAACAGCCAACATCTCCTGTCTACATGGGTGATATATGTCAAAGTCCAACATCTCCTGTCTACGTGGGTGATATATGTCAAAGTAGACCATGTTAGTCACCTCTGGCCAAGGACTAACACAAAGGCCGAGCAAACAAGTGCCAGTAGCCTAGAACCATATCATGTCCCAACAGACACTCCTTTGTGTCATAACACATGACATGTAGAATGCTATTCCTTGTTTTCCGCCAGAATGCTTTTGACTGAAGTGTGAACTCGAGTACATGCAGGTGTGAGGGCACAGACATTGCAGTGGTTGTCTGTCTATTAGGCTACACTCTGTCTGGGCTGGGTGGGGTGAGGAGGGATGTCTATATATAGTCCTTTAGTCCCGTGGCACTGTCACTGTTTAATTGCTCCTGGTGGGCCCCCGGCCCTCACCCTGCTGCCCTCCCCTCTCCACCTCCCTCCTGCCCCCGTTGTCTACCGAACGGCAACAGAATACATGATAATTACAGAGCTGATGATTGGATCATCCAGGCACTTATCTGAGCCACGTGGCCCAGTGGCAGTGCCCCCTGCTGGTTGTCAGGTCAGGGGCTGACAGGGGAGGCTTTAAAATTCACATTTTATAGCGCCTCCAAATGGGATGCTACATTAAAACTGGTTTTCGTGCTGTGAAGATTGTTGATTGTACTTAAACACAAGTAAAGACTTAAAAACAGGAGCCCTTGGTTCTGTGGAGGAGGCTGGAGAAGAGGAGCGAAGTGGTAGAAGAGGTTTTTATCAGGCCCATAGACTCAGTCAGACAAGTGCCCTCCAGTCCTGGCCAGTATGTACTGCCAGTCTGCCACTCTTTCCTTAGGGAGACGTGGCTGGCTGGCTGGCCTAGTGCTGGGTTGCCTCTGGCCAGGAGCCTGTCTGTGTCTGTTCTGCCAAGCCTTCTGCACCCAGACTGCTGCTCCTCACTAATCCTTTTTGACAGCAGGCAATTCCCCTGTGTAGCACCCGCTGCTGACATTATTATTTAACCTTTTACTGCAGTGGGCTAAATCAGGGTAGTCTTAGATAAATCTACTTTGAAAAAAAAGTATACACCTCACACATATGGTTATGGACTTAAAAAAGGAAGACACCTGTACCATGTCAGATATAGAGTTGAAATGTATTACATTTGTAGTTTGCATCCCAATATTACACTTTATATACATCACAGAAGACTGAAATATAACAAAACCATTTGACATAGAAACACCAGATTTTCTGCAGTTTAAAAAAAATAATGTTTATTAATTATGAAACTATACAAAATATTAATAACATTCCACCCATTTGGTCATTTGCCTGCAGGAAAGGGCTACATGGAATTGAGAATGTTGAGCGACTGAATTGTGTATGTATCTCTGTCCTTCATAAGTCTTCCATATTGCATCATCTATTTATTTTACATTTACATTTTAGTCATTTAGCAGACGCTCTTATCCAGAGCGACTTACAGTTAGTGAGTGCATACATTATTTTTTATTTTTTCATACTGGCCCCCCGTGGGAATCGAACCCTCAACCCTGGCGTTGCAAACGCCATCCTCTACCAACTGAGCTACATCCCTGCCGGCCATTCCCTCCCCTACCCTGTACGGCGCTGGGCCAATTGTGCGCCGCCCCATGGGTCTCCCGGTCGCGGCCGGCTACAACAGAGCCTGGATTCGAACCAGGATCTCTAGTGGCACAGCGATGCAGTGCCTTAGACCACTGCGCCACTCAATTCATAGGAATATCCTATAATGTGTTTGGTTAAAAGCATGACATTGGCACAATACATTCCAATTTGAATGTCATGCTTTATGAGCGGAATACAGTGGATGGATATTCAGTATGAACATTTCTATCACCCAGTATGACATTTGTAAATGTATTCAGATTGCGGATATAGATGTTTTCCAAGGTTTTCCTCTGAGACTGATCCATCCTCTCATCGCTATCTCTTTTTGAACTAAACTTCATCCTACCATTCTCCATTCCCTCTCTCCATCCAATCCATCCTCCTTCCCTCCATCTCTCCTCCTCTATCCACTGTCCTTTCGGGAGTCTGTAAATAAACTCTGTCCTCCTCCTGTCCTGTTAGGAGGGGATTTGTGAAGATCAGACAGATAGGCACAGACACTTCGTGACAGCGCTGCTAGGAGCCCTGAGTATCTGTCCCCCTGTCCTGATCTATCTGCCTCCTACTGCTCAGACCAAGCACTGACTGGCCCTCCTCTGATAAAGCACACACACTGACCAGCCACCATTTTAGACTGCCAGCCTGTTTTGGTCAGATTCTTTTATAGATTTCACCTGCAGACAGTAGAGGCTTTATGAAAGAAATGAAACAGCTGTGGTCTATGTCGCTGCAGTAGCTGTAGCAGTTGATATCTTTAATTATTTATGTCCAAGATTACATTTAGTATACAATCGTAAACTCTCTGTGGTCAATCTCGCTCTGTCTAATAACTGTGTTTGTCTCTGCCCAACTCAGTGGCTGCCCCAACCTCCTTTGAAGGGCCCTTTGGGAAGATTGTTTACCGTGTCAGAGCAGTCATAGATACACCTCGCTTCTCCAAGGACTACAAGTCCCAGAAGCCCTTCTACCTACTCAACCTGCTCAACCTCAATCAAGTGCCCGACATTGAGGTAAAGACCACCAGTCACCACTGTCTCAGCACTGTCTCACTGTCTGAACTTGTGTTGTTATGCAGTCATATCAATGGAATTACCTTTAGAAATATATAAATAGTACTTGGCTATAGACCGTCTACTGGAACTGTAGATATGTCTGAAGAGACTGACTTATTTGAACATGCCTTATTTTGTTTGATAGTTTTGGGATTTGATTTCAGCACGATGAGCGCAGTACAACCACTATCTCATCCATAATTAAATATTACGGGAGGTCTTCCCCCCAGCTCTTATTTCTCTGTTTCTATGCTCTGTTCATCTGTCCCTCAGAACTGGTTGTTTTACCCTTCCTATGACTGCTTCTCCCCAGCAACCCAGTTATGCTGTGACCACTAAGAAGTTCAGCTACCTCCTGGTGAAGACGGGCACCTTAATGCTGAAGGCTTGCAGTGAGCAGAGGGGATACACACCAGGCCAGATCATCAGACTAGCCACTGAGATCCACAACAAGTCAGGCAAGGACACGGGCTGCGTGCTGGCCAGCCTCATACAGGTACCACAGGACCTCTGCAATGTCTCACGGTCTCATGATGCTCCTGGTGTAACTTCTGATCAAATGCTGATACACTATATATACAAAAGTATGTGGACACCCCTTCAAATGAGTGGATTCGGCTATTTCAACAACGCCGTTGCTGACAAGTGTATGAAATCGAGCACACCGCCATGCAATCTCCATAGACAAACATTGGCAGTAGAATGGCCTTACTGAAGAGCTCAGTGACTTTCAACGTGGCACCATCATAGGATGCCACCTTTCCAAAAAGTCAGTTCAAAAAATGTCTGCCCTGCTTGAGCTGCCCCAATCAACTGTAAGTGCTGTTATTGTGAAATGGAAACGTCTAGGAGCAACAACGGCTCAGCCGCGAATTGAACGGGACCGCCGAGTGCCACTCCTGCGTTGTCTTGGCTGTGTGCTTAGGGTCGTTGTCCTGTTGGAAGGTGAACTTTTGCCCCAGTCTGAGGTCCTGAGTGCTCTGGAGCAGGTTTTCATCAAGGATCTCTCTGTACTTTGCTCCGTTCATCTTTCCCTCGATCCTGACTAGTCTCCCAGTCCCTGCCGCTGAAAAACATCCCCACAGCATGATGCTGCCACCACCATGCTTCGTCGTAGGGATGGTGCCAGGTTTTCTCCAGAAGTGACGCTTGGCATTCAGGCCAAAGAGTTCAATCTTGGTTTCATCAGACCAGAGAATCAAATCATTTCCAATCAATTTAATTTACCACAGGTGGACTCCAATCAAGTTGTAGAAACATCTCAAGGATGATCAATGGAAACAAGATGCACCTGAGCTCAATTTCGAGTCTCATAGCAAAGGGTCTGAATACTTATGTAAATGGAATGTTTCAGTTTTTTTTCTAAACCTGTTTTGCTTTGTCATTATGGGGTATTGTGCGTAGATTGATGAGGAAAAAACAATTTAATCAATTTTAGAATAAGGCTGGAACTTAACAAAATGTGAAAAAGTAAAGGGGACTGAATACTTGTGTGTATTTGTCTGTATTGACTACTCTAGGCTGTATGTTTGTTGGATGTAGGTCTTGTCTCTGATACCCCTCCTCCTTTTCTCCTGCTCAGAAAGTGACTTATAAGACCAAACGAGCTTTGTACGACCTGCGGACCATAGCAGAGGTAGAGGGGGCGGGAGTGAAGGCGGGGAAACATGCTGAGTGGCGAGAGCAGATCATTGTACCGCCCCTCCCCCAGTCTGCCCTGGCCGGCTGCAGCCTCATAGAGATCGACTACTTCATCCAGGTTAGTAACATCCTCAATGGAGTGCTCTTATGGGCATCCACTCGATTAAAGCATGTTGTTCACAGGTGGGACTTCAGAGTTTTAGCAGTTGTACAGCGTTCATTCTATAGAGTTCAGGTGGGCCGTCGCGCTTCAGCAAACAAAGGAAAGGAGGGGTGCTCAACAACGATGGCAAAAATCATGAGGTCTTACCAAGAAAAACTTCCAAAAGGACTAATTCGAGGTAAAAGGGTCCTTTTGGAAGCCATTCTCATACTGTTAATTCTATAGTCATAGTTGCAGTATGAACCAGACAATGTTCCTCATACAGTATCATACTGTAGTAATCCTCTCATTAACCCAATGCACCTGCCATGTAGTGTGCTGTAGGTCATTGATGCTCAGTTTCAGAGGTCTCTTTAGTGAGTTCAGGGATTATAGCTATGGTAATCTGAACAGATCAGATGTCTTGTTTGTCATACAGTATGGCAAAGCGATTTGTGTCAGTACATTACTTAAAGGATCATCTGGGATGACAGGATATTTAAACACATTTACATTGTGTCTTTGTGACCGCTGCAGGTATCACTAAAATCCCCAGAGACGGTTGTCACTTTACCCATCTACATCGGGAACATCGCTGTCAACTTGACCCCGTCACGAGCTATGCCCTCAACCCCAGCCCCAACATCCATCAGCCCTAACACCGGCCCGGGAGGGGTTACCCCCAGCGCACCCCCAGCTGAGGAGGACCTGGAGGAGGAGTTGGGTGCAGGGGGTTCAGTCAGCGAGGAGATCCCCACTAAGAGCCACTCCCAACAGGACCAATCCGGCCAGCCCCCCACCATGTCCCCCAGTGCATTCAGCTACGCTCCCGGTGCAGCTTTCCCACCCAGCCAGCGACGTGCCGACGAAACCTCTGCGCCTCTGTTTTGTGTGTCCACTGGGTCCACCATCCCTTTCTTCACAGAGGGAAACGCCACCCCAGTACCCACTTCCTGTCCTCTCATACTCCCCCCTGAGTACAGCACCTGGGACTACCCACATGGTGAGTCACCCCTGCCTAAAACAGCACTATTACAGAGTTAGTCACCACTTGCTGCTCCTACGCACAGTTTAACCTGTCTGGAGTTGATTCTGTAAATCACTTCTGTGTCAGTATGATGATCAATGATAAATGAACAATGGTCTACTATTATTCTGACTGTTTCTCTGGTTTGTCTGTGGATCTTACAGAACCCCCTCCCACCTATGAAGAGAGCTGCAGCAGCAACAACTCCAGCTTTAACAACAGCAGGCCGTAGAGGAGTGGGGACTGAGCATAATGCAGCTCACAACTGCAATTACACTCCCTAAAGGACAAATAGGGTACTGCAGCCCTAGCTCCAAGTGGACAGGAGACGCTATCCTCCTAAATATTACTCTAAAACAGGGCTCTCCAACCCTGTTCCTGGAGCTACCCTCCTGTAGGTTTTCACTCCGACCCCAGTTGTAACAGACCTGATTCAGCTTATCAACCAGCTAATTATTAGAATCAGGTGCACTAAAAAAGGGTTGGAGCGGAAACCTACAGGACGGTAGCTCTCCAGGAACAGGGTTGGAGAGCTCTGCTCTAAAATCAGTTCAAAAAAGGGATAATATCTTCTTTTTTTGTGTGTGTGTGTCTTATGATTGTTTATTCCCTTTTTCTCCTGGCTAAAATGACCTGCTATTATATAGATGGCATGAGAGAGAACATGAACTGTGCCTAATAGAAGCACTTCAGAGTAAACATATAGTGGGGATGATATTCCATGATTAGAGCCTATTGGAGGCTAAACGCTGACTAAACATTTTAGCATTTGAGAATATTATTGCATCTGTGATGCCTTGAAATTGTTGTAGGCCTGCTACTGTTTCTCCTTCATCCTTCAGACACAACCGAAAGCTGGCCTTTGTTGTAGTTTCTTTTCAAATGTGCACACTACTGTAATTCCGATCCATCACTGTCACCTCAGTGGCTCCCTCTTGATGGGTGGAGTAGGGCTGGCCTAGCTGGACATCAGGGCCTAAGCATGTCCCCCTGGTGGTCATCAACGGAAGAGAATGGCGCCCATTGGGAAAGCTTTTGACCTTCATTAAGGGCTCTATTCAATCTGTAAAGCTGAAGTGTTACAGATTCCGCGATAGAAATGCAAAGATAACTTCCGATTGAGCTGACATGTGCAGCGTTTACAGTGAATGCAGTCTCCGCTAAAGCGGGAACATTGCCTTTAAATTTCAAGCACGCTTTAAAGCTGCAATGCAGATTGAATAGAGCCCTAAAGCACTGGAGCTCAATGATGCCTGCTGAGTAGAAGAACATACTCCGTCAACCTGTGATCTACTGACAAGGGGCTTCATATGTTGTCACACCTCATCATCTTGAAACAGACAAGCGGGACATTGCAGTCTTGGGTGTGTAGGGGGAACTGACATAGCAAGGATTGATATGCATTTATGACATCTGATGCAAACACTTTTACTTTAACCTTTTTTACCCTGGATAAATGGAGATGATCTGTTGATTTTCCCCATGTGGCCTTAACTCCTTCTGTTCTACCTACATTAGTATGTGGTGATGAAGACGGTTGTCTTCAGGGTGTCTGTTGCTTTTGAAATGGCAGTCAATGCAAATAATACATTTGTTGGTGCAACAACCAACAGTGTGAAATGTTCAAGCACAAGACAGCACTTTTTGGCAGTTTGAAACTGTGCATGTATATGTTTTTGTGTGTGAATGTGTATGTAGTGTACCAGTTTGTGTAGGTGATCGCCCCTCCTGTCTTTGGTAGTTGATAACGTTCGACAGCTCAGTTTTACAATTGGACATCAGGCAATATCATCCACTGTGTGTTTGTATGAGTGTTGATTTGTATGTCTTGTTTCTGTCTCAATGACAGCCTCCTTTTTGTCTAGGCCAACCTCATTGTGGCTTATGTTTAATACAATTCTGTGAATACAAACTTTAGCACCTGCTGTGGGAATACATTTATACAGCAATCCCTCCTCTAATGGCAGCCTTCTCAGAGTACAGTCACATCACTAGACATATTACATCTACTATTGTGTGAAACATATTGTTCCCGCAATATAGCCAAGCTGCAAAGTCAAAGATTTGAGGTTAGCAGTGTGGTTAGATTTCAAATCTGATTTTATTTTAAGAAGAGAAGTAGAACTTCCGGCTTTGCAGCTTGGCCAGAAAGTGACTACCGAAACATACTGTGTAATATGTAATACACTCGTTAAACATCACTACACATAATATTACACCTTCTACTGTGTGAAACATACTGTGTAATATGTAATACACTCGTTAAACATCACTAGACATAATATTACACCTTCTACTGTGTGAAATATACTGTGTATTGTACATGTCCGCTCTGAGTTGTTGTTAACCCAAGCCTTAACTACATTATCCCAGTTCCCATTGGTCTGCATAGTCATCATCATCATCATCATCATCCAAGAGCTAGAGGTTTGGGAGTGCTTTTGTGGACCTCTCTGTTTTATCTACTGAAGTCTCCCTTGGACTGAAGATGCACTGGATGAATGCTGAAGTAGCTGTGAAACCTGTGAGGGTTTTCCTCAATGTATTTCAGCTCTGCTTGTGGACCTTGGACCTTCTCTCTTTTTTAATCCTAGAAAAAGAACAGATGAAAAAGTGCAATTCTGTTTTCTCCATGTTTGCTACGGCAGCTTCGTTCTCGAGTCATTTCATGCTGCCTTTATCAATCCTGCCCCACTGTTTTTATTTCTCTTTACCAAATGTACTATAGCTTTCTAAACTCCAACATGTTTTTCATTGTACATTCTTTCCCCTCACAAATCGGTACATGTGGTTTTGTATTTTTCTATTCGTAACCAGTTTTCTGGTGCAAATGGTAGCCATTTGAGAGAGATAAAAAAAATTGTAGCACCCTAGTCAATCAATGTAATAATTTAACTTGTTGTCAATCAAAATTGTACAGTGTACCAATAAAATGATAATCTGTCATATCCTTTGTACTGGTTTTGTAAAGGAAAATGGTTTATTGGGCCCTATATTTACCTGTCCCAAAGCACATCGATACTATAAAAGTGGTTTGATGATCGAGAATAAAAGGTGACCTCAGGTGCCGTCAAAGGAAATGGTTCTATCAACCGCTTGAAAAGGTGGGTACATATGCCTTGTGTTCTGCCTGTGTAATCCTACGTGCTTTGGTGTGACTGATATACTACACTTGAGATTTAGCCTCCTTCTTTATAATGCTTTGCCAATGGCATGGCCCAAAGACTGTCCAGTAGCCATGACAATGGGAGCAGCAGGGTAGCGCTTGAGAAGAGCAAGGAAGAACCAGCCTTTTCAGGCATCATCTCCGGCCTCACCACCTCACTGTTTACTGCAGCATCGCTCTTCCTCTGTTGCCATAGAAACTGCCTAGCCCCAAGCCTCCCTGTGTCACACAAGGACATGGACCACAGAGCTTATGTCTGCTTGCATACCTGCCAAGGGATGGAGGGAATATAATCTGCAAGGGCAACATCATAATATCACATAATTTCACATAATCTATGCAGAATCACTGCTGAATATTCTATGCTGGAAAGTGTTCATTGCTTAATTTTTGTCATGGTGCAAAAGCCACACTGTTGGATCTTTTGTAATGGAAGTAAATATTGGGGCCAACATCTAGACTCTGTATTGCCTTGTCTTCAGCTCCACCACCTGCTGTGATGATATAATGGCCCAAACAAGGTGTGTGGGCTATAGGCCTATATCATTATCAACCACAGGAGGGAGACAGAGAGCTAGTGGTGAGTTAAAGTTAGCCCCTGTAGACGCTGTATATTTACATTTTACATTTTAGTCATTTAGCAGACGCTCTTATCCAGAGCGACTTACAGTTAGTGAGTGCATACATTATTATATATATATTAATTTTTTTCATACTGGCCCCCCGTGGTATATCGTTTGACATTCTTTTCATTCATTTTTACAAACAACAGAATGTACAAACCACTTGTGAGGTAAATCCCTTGAGGATTTACAATGTGCGAAAAATTTTAAAAAAAATAATATGAACGCTAAAGAGAGTACAGAATCCCCTCCCTGACATCACCCCTCCCTCTGACCTATTTGGCACGTCACTGGCCTACCACAGTGTCCTTGCATTTCATCACAGCAAGTTGGACGAGCAATCCAATGCATACATGGATGAAGAAATGGTAAACTGCCTACTTAACTAATGAAATATGGAAGAATTACAAGTAGCCTATGAGATTAATGGCAGTATGGTTATTAGTGATTAGAATGATATAGGCCTAATTATCTCGGGTAAACATACCTTGAGCCCACTACCCATTAAGCCCACTCCGGGATGCTGACGTTCTCCGGGAGGCAGAGTTGCAAAGAAAATGCAATTTCTCAGACTGTCCATCTTAATCTTTTCCTTTTATTGGCCAGTCTGAGATATGGCTTTTTCTTTGCAACTCTGCCTAGAAGGTCAGCATCCCGGAGTCGCCTCTTCACTGTTGACGTTGAGACTGGTGTTTTGCGGTTACTATTTAATGTAGCTGCCAGTTGAGGACCTGTGAGGCGCCTGTTTCTCAAACTAGACACTAATGTATTTGTCCTCTTGCTCAGTTGTGCACCGGGGCCTCCCACTGCTCTTTCTATTCTGGTTAGAGCCAGTTAGCGCTGTTCTGTGAAGGGAGTAGTACACAGCGTTGTACGAAACCTTCAGTTTCTTGGCAATTTTTCGCATGGAATAGCCTTCATTTCTCAGAACAAGAATAGAATGACGAGTTTCAGAAGAAAGTTATTTGTTTCTGGCCATTTTGAGCCTGTAATTGAACCCACAATTGTTGATGCTCCAGATACTCAACTAGCATAAAAAAGGCCAGTTTTATTGCTTCTTTAATCAGCATTTCAGTTTTTTGCCATTGGAACACAGGACTGATGGTTGCTGATAATGGGCCTCTGTACGCCTATATAGATATTCTATAAAAAAAATCAGCCGTTTCCAGCTACAATAGCCATTTACAACATTAATAATGTCTACATTGTATTTCTGATCAATTTGATGTTATTTTAATGGACAAAAATAATTGCTTTTCTTTTGAAAACAAGGACATTTCTAAGTGACCCCAAACTTTTGAACGGTAGTGTATATCTGCCATTATAGTGTCTGTGACAGCGCCATAAGATAGTACTTTATTAATCCCCCAGAGGGAAAATTTGAGTCTCTCCATTTTGAAGAAGTCCATTTTCTTCTTCATGATTGGCTGATCCCTCCTGATGACCAAGTTGGACATGACTCCAACAGAGTCACCAGGAGGGATCGGCCAATGAAGTTGGAAGTCCCACCCAATTGACCACATTAAAATGGTGGAAGCCTTCAATGGCACTGCCCATGACAACGCAGCCTTTTGGCCACAAGAGGCCTCTATAATTCTCTATGGTTCTGTGCCCGGTTTCCTAAAAGCATCTTAAGGCTATGTTCATCGTTAGAACCATAGATCATATGATTCTAAGATGAACTTAGCCTTAAAATGCGTTTGGGAAACTGGGCTGTGACCTGTCTACTACTCTGAATGTGGTCACTGGCTGCTAGTAATATCTGTTGAAGCCAAAACAACTCCTCTCCACAGGTCTGCCTGCAGCTTTTTTACTGCAGATGTTATTATTATGAAGAAAACACTTAAGGACAACCAGATATCTAAAATGTTAAAAACACATTTATTCAGTAAAACAGTGAATGTAAAATTCCCACTGCATAATTTACATTTAAATACACATGTAAAATAAGAATACATTCAGAAACATAAAACACATTTATATTAACAGAATAAAACATACAAAATAAAACAGTAGTAAACAAGGAAGTATCTCCTTACAATTTGTTTATCAAATCTGGTTAATTCTTGACAGAATAAGGTCCAGTAAACTCATTAAGATGGGCAAAAACAACAAATAGCAGCTTTGAATGAACTCCCTCCATCACATGGGTTATGACTCTGCAACAGACAAACAAAAATAGCATAAGTCAGTTTAAACCAATGCTTGGCTGAATATCCGATTCTGCTCGAGAGTGTGTTGATTATTTAAATGCATATGAAAATACATGCAAGAACAAAGGCATGCACACTCAAGACGGGCACAACATTGTGGAGCGTGGGGTTGTGAGAGGCAGTGTGGGATATTCATGAAATGGGAATACAGTGAGGGAAAAAAGTATTTGATCCCCTGCTGATTTTGTACGTTTGCCCACTGACAAAGAAATTATCAGTCTATAATTTTAATGATAGGTTTATTTGAACAGTGAGAGACAGAATAACAACAACAAAATCCAGAAAAACGCATGTCAAAAATGTTATAAATTGATTTGCATTTTAATGAGGGAAATAAGTATTTGACCCCCTCTCAATCAGAAAGATTTCTGGCTCCCAGGTGTCTTTTATACAGGTAACGAGCTGAGATTAGGAGCACACTCTTAAAGGGAGTGCTCCTAATCTCAGCTTGTTACCTGTATAAAAGACACCTGTCCACAGAAGCAATCAATCAATCAGATTCCAAACTCTCCACCATGGCCAAGACCAAAGAGCTCTCCAAGGATGTCAGGGACAAGATTGTAGACCTACAAAAGGCTGGAATGGGCAACAAGACCATCGCCAAGCAGCTTGGTGAGAAGGTGACAACAGTTGGTGCGATTATTCGCAAATGGGAGAAACACAAAATAACTGTCAATCTCCCTTGGCCTGGGGCTCCATGCAAGATCTCACCTCGTGGAGTTGCAATGATCATGAGAACGGTGAGGAATCAGCCCAGAACTACATGGGAGGATCTTGTCAATGATCTCAAGGCAGCTGGGACCATATTCACCAAGAAAACAATTGGTAACACACTACGCCATGAAGGACTGAAATCCTGCAGCGCCCGCAAGGTTCCCCTGCTCAAGAAAGCACATATACAGGCCCGTCTGAAGTTTGCCAATGAACATCTGAATGATTCAGAGGAGAACTGGCTGAAAGTGTTGTGGTCAGATGAGACCAAAAATCGAGCTCTTTGGCATCAACTCAACTCGCTGTGTTTGGAGGAGGAGGAATGCTGCCTATGACCCCAAGAACACCATCCCCACCCGTCAAACATGGAGGTGGAAACATTATGCTTTGGGGGTGTTTTTCTGCTAAGGGGACAGGACAACTTCACCGCATCAAAGGGACGATGGACGGGGCCATGTACTGTCAAATCTTGGGTTAGAACCTCCTTCCCTCAGCCAGGGCATTGAAAATGGGTCATGGATGGATATTCCAGCATGACAATGACCCAAATCACACGGCCAAGGCAACAAAGGAGTTGCTCAAGAAGAAGCACATTAAGGTCCTGGAGTGGCCTAGCCAGTCTCCAGACCTTAATCCCATAGAAAATCTGTGGAGGGAGCTGAAGGTTCGAGTTGCCAAACGTCAGCCTCGAAACCTTAATGACTTGGAGAAGATCTGCAAAGAGGAGTGGGACAAAATCCCTCCTGAGATGTGTGCAAACCTGGTGGCCAACTACAAGAAACGTCTTACCTCTGTGATTGCCAAAAAGGGTTTTGCCACCAAGTACTAAGTCATGTTTTGCAGAGGGGTCAAATACTTATTTCCCTCATTAAAATGCAAATCAATTTATAACATTTATGACATGAGTTTTTCTGGATTTTGTTGTTATTCTGTCTCTCACTGTTCAAATAAACCTACCATTAAAATTATAGACTGATCATGTCTTTTTCAGTGGGCAAACGTACAAAATCAGCAGGGGATCAAATACTTTTTTCCCTCACTGTACATACAGCTGACATGATTCCCTATTCTACACGACAGAGACATGTCTGCACACAATATGTTGCACAATGCCTTGTTGAGCCCTGCCGGCCAGAACTATGACTAGTAACAGTCATACAAATTGTTAAAAGGTTTTAAAAACAATTATAATTAATGCAACAGCTGGAGAATGGTTTACATTGTTTCAAATCCATCAGATGTTGATTGAATTATAGCACATTCAAAAGTTCAGGGATTTTGGTGGGAATTCAGGTATTACATTTGTCAAATTACACTTCTCTTAGAATGCACTCATATATACATTTTCTAATGGTATCAGGTATTTTTTAAAAATATTTTGTGTTAAAATAAAGAAAATTATATGTGCCTCATTTGTATAAATGCACTGGGTGTATTTGCATATATTAATGCATTAATATAAAGGGGTGAAACAGGGCTGCAAACACCAAAAACTTGCTCTGTTTAGGCCTACCTGCACTGTCTAGACCTCATTAATTACTGTTGTTGTCATGTTCTGTTGCATAATTCAACAAGTGTGTCAATAGCAGGATACGCTCTAATTAAAAATCAAAACGCTTGGCTCCAGATTACACCTATCTATACATACTTTACATTGTTTGCGAGATCAGTCATAATATCACTATAATCCAAGTGTTCATTTTCGGAAGTTGCTTTCATTTCAGCGCCTCTAATTTGTAAATATTTCAACTGTATAAATTTTTTTTTTTTTTTAATTCCACAAAAAATTTACATCCATCAAAATAAAGTTATTTCTTCTCTTTCTTGTGATGTAAGTGTCGAGATGATGTGTTAAATCTCCAACGAAGCTTTAGCGTTTTTATAAACGCAACGGAAAGACAATGCATTCCCTTGAGCCCATTTCAGCCATTAACGGGGTGTGTTTGACAGGTCATTACAAACATTTCCGCAGTCGTAACATTATCAGGAAAAAACGTCAGGCACAAGCAAGAGTATGAAAGAGTCGCAGGAGTAAAATGAAAGCAATCAATTCAGCAAGATTTAAGTGACAAGTGGATTTTGCACCCCTCAAACACAGGAAATAGATGGCTGAAAAAGACAGATCCTTGCTACTATAACCTACCTTTCCTCCTCCAGAAGGGTTTGGGTGGACTGTGAGAGACAGTGGGGCTCTGTTCCTGGCCATCTGAAAAGTGCTGCAGACACAAGACAGAAAACATCACAAATGCATCCACGATTCCACGATTCTTTATTACTCCAGCATGAATTGTGTCAGTTTGGCTATGTATTCAGATAATCATGGTTCAGCATAAAAGTCAGCTCCTAAAATTAACCCTGAGGTTCAGAAATTATCTGGGTTGGTTTGGAAGAAAACAAAGACAGGGTTCAACCTACAGTGTATCAATTCAAAAATCCCATTTCGCAATAGTGAATAATGAAGTAGTATGTTGCGTCATCTTTCAGAGAGGGCTTGTAATGACAACCTTTAAAGAATATGCCTACAGCGTAGCTATTTTAATGGTTCAACGCCATATACTGACTGCTATCTATACGCATATGTAATTGACCCAGTTCTAGCGATAGACCAGATGTACCCAGCCAGTTCTATAGACCCTGACATTCCAAGAAGATGTTTGTGTAATTACATTGGGAAATTAGCTGAAACTGAGAAATGATGATAGACTTTATCCAGCATTAAAGGGATGCTTCGGGATTTTGGCAATGAAGCCCTTTATACTTCCCAGAGGCAGATTAACTTGTGGATACCATTTTCATGTCTCAGCGCAGAGACATAGAAATGGTATCCACAAGTTAATCGGACTCTAGGGAAGTAGATGAAAGGCTTCATTGCCAAAATCCCGAAGCATCCCTTTAATACATAGACTGTTCAAGTCTAAACTATAATATCTGTCCAATCATCTTACTATTGAACATATTAAGTCTCCCTCTCTACATCTCTCCCTCCATCTATCCAACCCCTTCCCTCTCCTCATCATTGCCTCTCACCTGTTGGATCTGCTGGATCTCCCTCATAGCCAATCGGATGGAAGGATACAACCGGGGAAAGGGCCTGCTCTTGTGGTCCCGCTCGCCCTCCTCATCTTCCCCCGCTCTTCCTCTCTCCCCATCCCTGAGCCTCCCTCCTCCTCCAGCCTCTGCCCGGTGTCTGCGGTCAGATATCCGCCTGAGGACAGGGGGACTCTGGGCCTCCAGGTCGGGGTTCTGCCCCTGTGGCAGGAAGAGGCGCTGGAGCTCCAGGTGGGCCGGATCCAGGCTCGACTCACCCTCCTCCCCAGACTTGGTGCTCCCGCAGTCAGCCACGGCCAGGTGATCCAGGCCCTTCAAATCCTCGTAGTCTGTGTTCTGGTCACATGTCTGGAACAGCAGACAGAATAACATGAAATGCATAAAATGTTCGATTATCCATTCTTAATGTACAGTACTACACACAGGTCCTGCCAGAGCCTGTGCCAACTGTGAGTATATTCAAGACAGTATTTGACAGGAGCCAGACCCTAAAGGGGTTTGACCCAAGTGCTGACCTGTCCACAGGAGGTGGTGAGCAGCTCGTTGAAGGGCTTGATGCCCACCCGACTGTAGTGCTGCACCAGGTCAGGCAGGGAGGGGTGGGCTTTATCCTCCCCCAGGATCACATACTTCCCGTTGGACTGCATCTCGATCATGTAGTGCCTGCAGCGGTTCGCCCCCCTAACATCGGATAGACGGAGAGGTCAGAGGGTAAAGGGCACATATCGGTCAAACAGGGTGAGGGGGCAAACAGGAGTTAGGGGTTTAATGTCTTATATGTCATGCTATAGCTTTGGGTCGTTTTCAGCACACTTTGAAAACAAAAATCTCTGTTCTAATTGGACAAGTTCAGTTAGTACCTCCCCATTCCAATCTATTTCAAAAAGTTTACTGCCTAATGAATACAACCCTGTCTTCTGCTCTTTTTCTACTTGTCTGTCAACCTGTTCAAATACACTTCTCAACCGTACTCTTCCTCCCTTTCCTCAAGGTGATCACTGATCTGATGTGATGTGATGAGAATAAGGCCCAGAAAGGCAAGGTCATTAGGATCGAGATTGTCATCCTCAGTCTTACTTGTATGTTAGTGTGTAGCCCTCCCGGCTCTGTCCTACACGAATCAGGAAGCAGCCTACAGGCTTGTCCGTCATCAGATCCTCCGCTTGTCTGGAGAGGAGACATACACAGAGTGGTTAAAACCACACTGAAATCTGACAGAATTAAGTCTGAAGTGTGTGTGTGTGTGTGTGTGTGTGTGTGTGTGTGTGTATTACTATTCTCTTGGGTACTGGAAATCCCCAAAAGGAGAGTAAAACAAGGAAAATTCTCCCTCGTGGGGACATTTCACAGGTCCCCATGAGGAAAAGGCTATTTTAGGCTTAGGAGTTAGGTTTAGGGTTACAATTAGAGTTAGGGTTACAATTAGGGTTAGGGGTTAGGTTTAAGGTTAGGAGTTAGGTTTAGGGAAAATATAATTTTGAATGGAAATCAATTTTAGGTCCCCACAAGGATAGTAAAACATATGCTGTGTGTGTGTGTGTGTGTGTGAGAGAGAGAGTGAGTGAGTGAGAGTGTGTATGTGTGTGTGTGTGTCATCCTGTCTTACTGACCTACGTGTGATCATGCCATGGAACCAGCAGGGGAAGGCACCATTGCGGACCACCTTGCGGGCCTGCGTCTCCTTGAACCAGCGGATGTTGTTTCTTCTCTTCTTGCTCCTCTCCCTGGCCCGCTCCTCTCCCCACGCCTGGCCCACCAGCTCAGCCAGCTCACAGTGCACCTCCAGGTTGTCAAAGGGAGTGGCCTGGGAGAGACAGAGGGAACCGTATAGGGTAAATCTTAGGGTAGTTTAAGGCTCAGTTTAGGGTCAAATTTAGGGTTCTATTCAATCAGATCTCATTAGCTGACATCCGCATAGTGGTTGTTTTGGCGGTGTCGGAGATGGAACTGTGTTACAGCTGTCAAATCCACAAGCAGCTCCTGGAATTATACCTAAAGTGGACATTGCCATTGGCTGCATGGAGTCGTATTAAGAGAAATCCCATACAGCCTTGTTTACAAGTTTGAACACTAGAATGTGAGAGGTAATCTACACCTCCATTAGGATGATAGAAATCCTCATTATTTTGTTTAATGATTTTTTATTTGAGCGTCAAATTATTTCTATATAGCCTACACTTTCTCTTTCTGAACTTTTAACGCGAGTGGGACGGGTGTGGCTTTGTGACAATGATCAAGAGCAGCTGCTCACCAATTTACACCTCCGACACAAACATCAGCTATGTGGGTGTCGGCTATTGCCAGTTAATGCTTGATCTGATGTAATCTAGTCATCAGAGACTAGGAGGGGATGTCAGGGGAAAGAGTGGGAGAGCGATTGTCGAAGGGTACAAGATCAGTTAATAGCAGGTTTCCACTAACATGATGTCCATGGGCTAGCTAGTGCTTGCTAGCACCAGAGACCGAGAGGCTAAACATGAGATTACTTTCTGCAAATGACTTTTCACTGTTTCAAATTAATTTAAGGTTGCCAGTGTAGGGTTTTGAGTATGGCCCACCTCAAACTGTTTGTTGCGGGGCCGGGGGACAGGGGCCAGGTGGGCAGCTGTGGGCAGGATGGAGCGAGGCCGGGGCTGAGGCTTCTTCCTCCTGGGTAGGGGCACGGGTGGAGAGACGGGCCCTGAGACACACACACACACAATACTGTTGATACAGCACTCATAGAGCTGCATACGGTGAGTGACAAGGATCCTTACAAATTCTTGAATGCTGAAATATTTAAGTCATCATACAGAAATGTCTTTGGCAACACGCATGTACAGGTGTAGAGAAGGAGTTTGGAGAGGGGTAAAGAGGTCAAGAACAAAAATATAACAGTGTTAGGGAGAAAGAGAACAAGTAGGTGATTGTAAGGAAGGGAGATAGGTGAGCAAGAAAGAGAGAGAGAGCGAGAGAGGCAGAGAGAGAGAGAGGCAGAGCGAGGGCAAAAGAGATAGAAGGAAAGCAATATTCTGTCTCCTTACTTTTGTTCTCCTGCTCCATGTCCAGTCGCCTCATCTCCTCCTCCAGCTCCTGCTTCCTCCTCCTCTCTTCCTCCCTGGCTTCCTCCTCCTCCCTCTCTCTCTGGGCCTGCCTCTGTCTGCGCACCTCCAACAGTAGGGACAGGTACTTCCTCCTGTAGCGCAGAGAGCGGTAGTCTGAAGAACACAGCAACAGTGAGAATGTGAACAGAGAGAGAGAGAGAGAGATTGAGAGAGAAATTGAGAGAGAGAGATACAGTGGAGATTTAGAAAGGAGAGAAACATTACTATTGAATGACACATGGTAAAGGACCACATTACGACACAAAATGATGCTACAGTCATTACAGGCCTTGAAATCAAGATACCAGACAGTATAACAGAGAAACTATCATCCATCTTGCAGGGTTGTGGGGGGTTGCAACACAAAGACTGCAGGTAGCACTTAAAACTGCAAGTAACTTGATGATGGCAATGTTTGAAATACATCATGATGGGACATTATTAAACAATGTTTACTTCAATGATAATAACCTAGTCTACCTACCTGCGAGGGTTTCTAGCCTCAGGCATGAGTTTCAAAGCAGCAACATCTCACAGAGGCCAATGAAGCTGTTTGACAGACATTTGAGAGATTATGTTCCAGATACTATGTATGAGTGACCCTTACTTTTCTGGATGACAAGTGCTGCCTTGCCCAGTCTCTCCAACAGCCTGGCCAACTCCTCCTGGTGCCAGTACTTAAAGAACAGACGAGACGAGCTGCCATATTGAGAGAGATAGAGAGAGTATGTTTGAACAACGTTCATAGATATTAAGCACTATTTGCAGAGGGCAAAGAGCACTGTTAAATTAGAGAGCAAATTCGAGAATGATTGAGATTATCACTTAACTCCAGTAATCATTAAGCCACATTCATAATTCTGGGACATTTCTAAAGAACAACACAGCAGGAGAAAGCAAGAGCAGGGGACCAAGAGGGTGAAAGTGTGCAATTGAGATAAAGATCTCTACTCAATATAAACCCTGAGCTGACCTCCCAATACAAGCCAATGACAACACTAAACTGTTAACTGAAGAATGAGCTGCTTTTGACAGACTGATTTTCAGTTGACTGATATAGTTTTATAAGACTACAAATTGAATGTTGGAGTAGACGAGTTGAAATCTGGGAGAATTAATAGTGTTGAGTGTTCCCATAAGTCAATGGAGGCAGCTACCTAAATGTCTTGAAACTGAAATCTTATCAACACTATTACCTGCAGCATAAAAGCATGAAACATCTGATGAGTATAACCTGAATGACATGCTTTGATGAATGGACATATTATGAAAGGAAGCTTTGTTACAGGAAGATTCAGGAGTAAGTAAGTTAGTCTTCTAGGACTGATTGTGGCAATCATTTAACACAACAAGAGCATCTACTGTAGCCTTACCCACACTTCCAGCCATGTATCTCAGTAGTGTTGAGGATGGACATGCAGCTGAAAAACACCCACAAACCACACAGGTTACATTTGATAAGAGGTAACAAAGTACAGCTACAAATTTCGGTTAAATATCGCAACGTGATGTTGGTGTATGTTATCTTTTTAAAATTGCTGGAATGAGTGAAAGTGTCTTTATACATACCTTTCCTTGGTTAGTGGTAAATCTGGCTTTATCAGCAGAATGTTATATCTGAAGACAAAAGAGTTTAGCATGGTGCGGCGAAAATAAAACTGCAGTGCACAGTAATATCATGCATGCAAGTTTGTGTGTTGGCCAAGATGATAGTAGCTATGTTACAGATAATGCAAAGTTTGATACAAAATATATAAATTCACACACACACACCTCTGAGCAAATTCTTTGAACGACGGTCGCCAGGAGAAGCCATCTCTTCGTATCCTGATGGTTTCCAGCAGGCCGTTGTATCTTAGCTGGAAATATTTAATTATCCTTAGTTATCATTTGAATATGTTCCACATACCCCAAGCAGAATCAGATGTAATTGATGGCCATATTAGAGACCTACTGGACTTATTTGAAACTAAATGCAATGTCAAAGCTGAACAGCAGGTGGCAATGTAACATAAGGCACAGTTATGATGATGACGGGGAGTGATTATTGTTTAAAAAGCACAAATCACAGATGGTCAAGTAGCTTTAGAATGACAACTATTTTGGCTAGTCTTGACCTAGCCTTGAACTAGTCTTGACCTAGCCTTGAACTAGTCTTGACCCAGCCTTGAACTAGTCTTCAACTAGTCTAGTTTATGGAGGGCAATAGAGCTACAGCACAGAGATCTCAATGATGAACATTGTAAAAATCTGTATATTACGCCAAATATAACCAATATAAATACATGGGTCGTTCCACGAAAAGAGTGCCTTTTGCATCCCTTCGATATTTTAAGTAGAAATTGTGCACCAATATTGAATTTGAAAAGCATGTTATATTACATTTAGTATAGACTAAATACAATATTCAATAAATAATTCAATAAATAAATAACAAATCTGCCCTGTATCACTTCTAGGAAGATTTTAACCCACTTAACCAAAACACTTATCCAAGTTTCACCATCATTGTAAAGCTTTAGTTATTTTGTTGCTTGACAAAGTCATTTCTGAAGATTATTACTTATTTCATGTGATCAGTGATTCATTTACATCTGTCCCTCATTTTAAGGTCAACCCTGTTATGTGAACTGAACTCTCTTTTGAAAATATTTTTTAATAGTTCAATAAATCATAGAGTAAAAGCAGGTGAGCTGGTTCTACTTTTTTTGGTCATTTTCTGGTGTTTTGTGAAGGTAAACTGAGTGGGCCGAGCATAACACGTCAACACTGTTACCCATAGATAGACAGGCTAGACATTTAAACATGCATTCAAATGCTACTCCCTGTTGCACACAACAAGCTTCCATTCCCCCTGTCACAAGTGGATTTATGAATAATTTAAGAAGAAATCGTCAACCCTGTTATGGTCAACCCTGTTACTTTATTTGGCACTTAATGGGCACTTACTATTGGATTTTTATTTAACCTCTTGAGATGAAGTTGAACGTGCTCTTTATGACACTTCTCAAGTTACCTTATTTGTGGAATGACCCACATATGTAATGAATAATTCCTTAATCAGCTTTAACACAGACTATCTACCACAATTTCACAGTAATTAACCATAGTCTCCCCCCCCCCCACGTCAATACTGCATTGTACTGTTATATCAGTTCAGCCCTAGACAAACAATTAAAAGGCATGGACTACAGATGACGAGGAGAGGCGAGGGAAGAAAGACCCCTGGTGTCAGACTAGACAGCAGTGTTCACCGACAGGGCAGGGTATTGACCGGCTTCATTGTGCCATCAGGGCTACACTAACCCTCCCCTGGGGCCAAATCCACTTCCTATGAACATCAGACAGTCACACACTGACCCACTAACCTAGTACCTAGACCAGGGCCGGCACCAGAACAAATCCGTTAGACGGGCCTTTGATTTAAATAGGCGGGCACGTTTTTTTTTTTTTTTTTTTGAAACAATGTTTCCACTCTGAGAATGAGAACTGTAACATACATTTATGTAACGGGGGATTAACGGTACATTTACTAGGCCTATTGGTGACATATGTAATTGATTTTTTTTTTAAACAATAAAAGGGCAAACAATTCACATAATGAAACCATGAAGGCGCAAGAATTGGCGGGAGACCACTAAGCGCATTCTGGAGAGCTGAGTGCATCTAGTCCGGGTAGCCATTTGATTAGCTGTTCAGGAGTCTTATGGCTTGGGGGTAGAAGCTGTTAAGAAGCCTTTTGTACCTAGACTTGGTGCTCCGGTACCGCTTGCCGTGCGGTAGCATTCTAGAGAGAGACATGCCATATCTTCATCACACACTCCTCCCCTCCTTCTTGTTGCAACATTTTAAATTATACTCAAGACACATTATCTTCACATATACAGTATTTTAGATGCTTTTCACTGACAGCCACAACTCAATCAGCTAGACATATTGCCATTCATGCTGCCCAAATTGCACGATTCCCAAATAAGCATAGGCTTACACACTTATGATTTGAAACAATACACAGCTATTTTTTAAAATAAACAATCTAATGATCCTCTGTGGCTAAGTCATGCTCTCAGGTGAAGTATTTTTTATGTTTTTATTTAGACAGTAGTAATTATATAATTTTGGCAAAACATCAATTTACTTTAGGGGAAGCCATTATCATAACAGTCTGAAACCTGAGAGCTGTCTATAATGACGAGATGCTCATGTCTCCGCCCTAACAATGGGAGTCGTTGTTCCAAAGGCAGGAAGTCAGGCGACAAGCTTTAGGTCTACATATTATGCCTATAGAAACACATTGGGCTTATTCTGGACAGATTTATGCGAGAGTGAGCCCTTTCGCTTCGCCTCTTCTGCTCTGCTGAAACTCTCTCACAGGAGAAAGCATCCGAGTGAGCGAAACAGCGCCCCTCTGTCTTACTATATGTCGCCCATGTATCTGATGCTGTCTGCCCAGAAATAGTATGAAATGCCATACTCTTTTGGTCCAGACAGAATAAGATACGTGGTCCACACATACTGAGACAGAGGGGCGCGGTTTCGCTCACTCGGATGCTTTATCTGAGATTGATGAGACTTTCTGTCGGCGCCCGTCTCGGTCAAATAAATGCTCACTATTTCAATATGTTATTTGGATGGGCAAAGAGGTACGGTAGGGCGTGCCAAGCCCTCTAAGGCCCACCCATAACGCCGGCCCTGACCTAGACCCTGCTACTGCTGCTGCTTAGCCAACCACTGATCGCCATACTGGGGACTGGGTCGTGTTCATTAGGACACACCATAGCAAAATGCTTTGCTACGGAAAAGGAAATCAAGCATTTCTTATTGGTCAAGTTCAGACAGTTTCAGTCCGATTTCTTCAGTTTCGTGCCTATTGAACACAACCCTGACTCTGAAGTTTGCTCAATCCACACTAAGGATCAATACTGTGTTATAGATATAACTTTTAGCACTGACAATTATCCACCGTTCACATAGCATTTGTAATGCACCTTTGCTTAGCTTTTGAAAGCATTGATTATTCAGAAAAAAGGGTTAAACATTGAGGGCACAAAAGTACTGGTGTTGTATCTGTAGGCCTGTGCACCCCACCTAGGAAATAATCTAGCTAGGGGAAATACTAAAGCATTGGCTGCTACCTGGTTAGATATGCCTAGAGTACAGTATCTGAAATAATACAGTGCTATGAAAAAGTATTTGCCCCCTTTCAAATGTTCTCTACTTTTGCATATTTGTGCATGTTCTTACTGTGGAATGCAGTGTTTGGTTTTCGCCAGGCATAATGGGACCCATCTCATCCAAAAAGTTGACTCAAGTTAGCCAAAAAGCACCTGGATGATCATCAAGACTCTTGGAAGAACGTTCTATGGACAGATGATTCAAAAGTATAAATTTTTGGACGACATGGTTCCAGTAATGCCTGGTGAAAACCAAACTCTGCATTGCACAGTAAGAACATCATACCAAAGGTCAAGCATGGTGGTGTTGTGATGGTTTGGGGATGCTTTGCTGCCTCAGGACCTGGACGACTTGCCTTAATAGAAGGAACCATGAATTCTGCTCTGTATCAGAGAATTCTACAGGAGAATGTCAGACCATCCGTCTGTGAGCTGAAGCTGAAGCGCAGCTGGGTCATGCAGCAAGACAATGATCCAAAACACACAATCAAGTCTACATGAAATTGCTAAAAAGCAACAAATTGGAGGTTTTGGAATGGCCTAGTCAAAGTCCAGACCTAATCCCAATTGAGATGTTGTGGCAGGACTTGAAACGAGCAGTTCATGCTTGAAAACCCACACGTCACTGAGTTAAAGCAGTTCTGCATGGAAGAGTGGGCCAAAATTCCTCCACAGTGACGTGAGAGACTGATCAACAACTACAGGAAGCATTTGGTTGGAGTCATTGCAGCTAAAGGTGGCACAACCAGTTATTGAGTGTAAGGGGGCAATTACTTTTTCACACAGGGGAATTGGGTGTGGCATAACTTTGTTTATGAAATAAATGAAATAAATATGTAATTGTTGTGTTATTTGTTCACTTATGTTCCCTTCTGCTAAATGGCATATTATATTATATATTATATTATCTAATATTAGGTTTTGGTTGAAGATCTGATAACATTCAGTATCACAAACATGCAAAAGTAGAGAATATTAGAAAGGGGGCAAATACTTTTTCATAGCACTGTATATGATATATTGGTTCTCACCTGGTCCATGACCCTTTTGTTGTCCACCTGGTCAGGAAGCTTGTTGCCGTTAGGTTTGATGCAGCGAACAAAGTGAGGACTGGCCACAAACATCTTCTCCATCAGCACAGCCAGAGAGTGCTGCAGGAAGACACACATACACACAGTGGAGATTACTAACCATTATCTTTGCATCTTTATTTTACAGCAGTTCAGTCTATAGGTAGGCATATTTACAAGGATTTTCAGTTTTGTTCATACTTAGTGCTCAGACATCATTATGAAACCAAATGCTCAGAAATAAGAGGTTTATAAATCCAGATGTGCTATATAAAGTCAACTTCCCATCTTACCTTAAACTGGGCCCCCACAGACTGTTTCCTAGTTGAGTTAAAGTTGTCATCTGCCTTTTGCATGAGCTAAAGGAAAAAGTATTAACATCCTTTAAACCCCCAAACATCCACTTTCTGGCTCTGACTTGCAGTGTAAGAAAGGTCATAATATGACCATGCTGTTAGTTACCAATAATCGTATATTCTACAGAATCGATGTCATAGTCTGCTGCGCTTTGTAAAAACAATTCCGAATATTTTATGATCTACAGTGCCTACCTTGGCTTTGCGTGGCATCAAGGTCCCTGTCCTGGAGATAGTGGCTGAAAATACATAAAATATGAATCGCATGAATATTAGATGTGAGATGCCAGACAGACTGTGATCAATGTTTTAAACTAGAACAATGCTCAAACTAACCAGAGTCTGTACATGTTATGGTGGTGTGTTCAGATAAGAGTAAGCATGTATTATTTATACATGCGTACTACATCATTTTCTAAGAGGTGGTCAGGGGATGTATTTGTCCACAAACCCTCATTGGAAACCAGCCCATGTCATTTTGTATCAGCTCTGATTGATGTTAAGCATGTTTACAGAACTGATTTAATAGCTACAGTTTAACAATCACTGTGTAAAAAAACGTACATAATCAGTGAGTAAGCATCAGCAATAAAAACATAAAAGCCATAGACTGGGTCATTTCTGGCTAAGTATAGAGCTGTAGAACACAGAAACATTCAGGTAACCTCACGTACCTGCGAAGAGGACACTGAGTAGAGGGGTGACACTGTTGATGAAGAGGTCTCTGATGCTGGCTGGGATGGTGTCTCTGTTCATCTCTAGGAAGCCTACTCCGTTATACTGGACCTGGACACAGGAAGGACCGAATTCACTAACACTTTATTTGAAGTCCATAAACACACTCATAATGAGTTATAATGCAATCATAATGTAGTATAAGTGTAGTTGTAAACAATAGCTTATAATGGCCTATATCAATACTCATAGTGCATTATAAAGTATTATTATAAAGGCGGGTATGTAACCTCACCTTCCCAGCATAGTGAACCACAGTGAAGAGGGGGCTGCGACTCCGTACCACCTCATAGTGTGGACTGCTTTTAAATTTACTGTTCAACTTGTCCACAAAGTCTCTGTCTGATGCCTGAGGGGACAAATAGGGACAAGAGATTAGAATTAATACACATAAATTAATATCAGGGTTGGGGTCAATTCCATTTAAATTCCAGTCAATTCAGGAAGTACACTGAAATTCCAATTGGAATTTGGTGTACTTTCTGAATTGAGTGGAATTGAAATAGAATTGACCACAATCCTGATTAATACAAAGATGTATGGGTGTATGGAGACCACTATCGTACCTGAGGAAAGGCACTCTGCTCGTCCAAAAGAGAAAGGAGCCCAATGGGTTTAGTAAGGATCAGGTCCTGCGGGAGAGACACACATTAGTTGTTTATGAGACAAGGAAAAACACCTAAACAAATACATTTCTGAAAATGCATATTTGGGTTCATCTAGCCAATTGTTAACTGGGTAAAACAAACATGGTACACAACTTCATATAACTTTAAAACAGACATTCTCACAGTACAAGGAGAATATTTGTTATCCTGAAAACCTTGTTTCCCAATCTATTGACTAGGGCCCCTACACTGTAAAATGCTCTAGAAGTTTTATAGTGCTCTGTAGGCATTAGGACTGAGAGTGGGTACACAGCAAATTACCTGTGGATCCAGGTTGTGCATTACTCACCCTAGGGTCCAATCCTTACTCGAGTTAGAATTCTTCCCACAACTCCTAATGTGTCCATCTTATCCCATAACTTACCGACTGGCTCTACTCATACCTTCAGCCATGAACAGGGACAATATTTTTTCATTTTCTGCCAAATGAACCCAGTGGCTTCTATGAAGACAAGAGGATGATGCCACAGGCTAAAAGCTCAAGTGCCTATTAAGCTACTGGCATGTGACTGAACACTGCCCTGTCAGCATTTCCCCTTCCTGGGGTCGCCGTCACTACGTTCTGTTCTTTTATGTCTGCCAGACTCACACTGGGTTTACACAACCTGTCTGTGTTATTACTGAGAGAGGGGGGAGGTAAAGAGAGTGAAAGAGAGAGCGAAAAAAGTATGAGAGAAAGAGAAAGGGTGTAAAAGGGGGATGAAAAAAGGTTGAGAGGGAAAAAGAGTACTACTGTAAGTGATGAGGGGAAAAAAGAGGATGTCTTTTTACCAGGATAGGCTTGTTGTCTTTGAAGGAGATGGTTTCCCACTCGATGCCCTCTTCCTTGTATTCATTCTGCTCCATCAGAAAGATGTGCTGCAGGATGACAAATGCATACAAAGACGCATGAATGACTCAAAACAAAAGGACAGCAGGTATTTCCAGTTTCTTTCACAAGAGCTTTGGTCACAGGGGAAAATTTTTCATTGGATAAATATGCTTTGCCCAATCATTTCATTAGAAGATGGCACATTCAATTGCGTGTGGCCTTCAGTCACAAAAACGCCAAAAGAAGCCCTGAAGCCCTATGCAGTTGTAGTCTAGTGATCTGACACTATTAAATAATCATAAGCAGATTTCTACCCCCGCCCCCCCCCAGAAGCCCTCACAAGCTGCAAATGACAGAGTGGAAAATGTGTGCTGCCGTTTGAGAAAGAAGAACAAGATATTAAACACAGATCCCCTTCCCTATAAACATTTTGTAGGCCCAAAATAACCAGGGTACAGGGAGGTTTGATGGCTGGTAATAATGTGGTGGTGAGGCCTCACATTTCAGGCCTAAGAGAGAAAATAAAGCTCTTCCTGATCTGGTGTCATGTTTATCAACGTGCGAGTCAAGTATATCAGGAAATATACTCCGTTTGTGGGTATTTGTCTTCTTTTTCCTATGGCATTTGTACCAGATACCTGTGGATGTTTGTTGGACATGTATACACTACTTTTGAACCAATATACTCAGTGTCCACATGGACAGGCCCCAAAGGTAAACTGTGTCATGTTTCCTAGTAGAGTGTGGTCCACAGCAGTGTGACTAGTAAAAGTAGACTGTGTGTCTTTAACTCCAGCATCACATGCACTCAGTACAGTGAGCTCCAAAAGTATTGGGAGAGTGACACATTTGTTGTTGTTTTGGCTCTGTACTCCAGCACTTTGAAATAAAGATGAGGTTAAAGTGCAGACTGTCAGCTTTAATTAGAGGGTATTTTCATCCATATTGGGTAAACCGTTTAGAAATTACAGCACTTATTGTACATAGTCCCCCCATTTTATTGGACCAAAAGTATTGGGACAAATTCACTTATATGTGTATTAAAGTAGTCAAAGGTTTTATATTTGGTCCCATATTCCTAGCACGCAATGATTACATCAAGCTTGTGACTCTACAAACTTGTTGGATGCATTTGCTGTTTGTTTTGATTGTGTTTCAGATTATTTTGTGCCCGATAGAAATGAATGGTAAATAATGTATTGTGTCATTTTGGAGTCCCATTTATTGTAAATAAGAATATAATATGTTTCTAAACACTTCTACATTAATGTGGATGCTACCATGATTACGGATAATCCTGAATGAATCGTGAATAATGATGAGTGAGAAAGTTACAGATGCACAAATATCATACCGTTGTGGTCCTCTGTAGCTCAGCTGGTAGAGCACGGCGCTTTTAACGCCAAGGTAGTGGGTTCGATCCCCGGGACCACCCATACACAAAAAAAATGTATGCACGCATGACTGTAAGTCGCTTTGGATAAAAGCGTCTGCTAAATGGCATATTATTATTATTTATTATTATACCCCCAAGACATGCTAACCTCTCACCATTACAATAACATGCGAGGTTAGCATTTTTGGGGGGGGTATGATATTTATGCCTCTGTAACTTTCTCACTCATCATTATTCACGATTCATTCAGGATTAGCCATAATCATGGTAGCATCCACATTAATGTAGAAGTGTTTAGAAACATTCTAGTCTTATTTACAATAAAAGTGACACAATATATTATTTACCATTCATTTCTATCGGGCACAAAATAATCTGAAACACAACCAAAACAAACAGCAAATGCATCCAACAAGTTTGTAGAGACACAAGCTTGATGTAATCATTGTGTGAAAGAAATATATGACAAATACTTTAATACACAAGTGCATTTTTCCCAATACTTTTGGTCCCCTAAAATGTGTGGACTATGTACAAAAAGTGCTGTAATTTCTAAACGGTTCACCCAATATGGATAAGAATACCCTCAAATTAAAGCTGATAGTCTGCACATTAACCTCATAGTCATTGTATCATTTCAAATCCAAAGTGCTGGAGTGCATAGCCAAAACAACAAGACAAAATGCACTGTCCCAATACTTTTGGAACTCACTGTATGTACTGTAGGCCAGCTGACCTAAATGTACATGTTTTTCTGAAGGCTTCCACTGAAAAATAACATTTAAAACAAGACAATTAAATAGGCATGTATAGCCATTTCAAAAAGCAGAACCAATTGTAGACTATGTTCAGATTCCTGTTCCTCTACTAACACTGACCACGTGTTTCTTTTAAGTGTTTGGGTCTTACGTTAACAAACCCTACAGGCTGTCATTTTAGGGGACTTAAATAGAAAAACACTTCTAAGGGACCCAAGATTACAGGGCTACTTCTTTGTGCACTGATGTTTACACTTACGTGGTTAAAGAAGTACTGCAGCTGTTCATTGGCCAGGTTGATGCAGAGCTGCTCGAAACGGTTCACGGCAAAATTCTCAAACCCAAAAATGTCAAGGATACCTGTATTATAGAACAAGACAATAGAATGGTCAATCTGATATTGACCATCTCTGCTTGAGAAGACGAAACTTAGAGTTTTGGTACATTCGAAGCCTTAAAGTTTCCCTTAAACTGACCTATTTCATTCAGTTCAACGTCAATGTCAACGTTGGGAGCCAGCAGTTCATTAACTTTCCTGACAATCCAGCCGAATACTCTCCCATAAGCCACTTTGGCAATGGAGTCCCTGGCATCTGCAGATAAACACACGACAACAACATATTAATGGAGTAAAATTATCTTGAAAACATGATTAATAGCATTTCCATTTTGAGCTTCAGTTTCTTTTCTCTCTCCCATTGACGCTAAAGCAGTCAGGCCTGGAGGGAAGCAAAAGTAATTCCGCTACCCAAGAATAGTAAAGCCCCCTTTACTAGCTCAAATAGCCGACCAGTCAGCCTGTTACCAACCCTTAGTAAACTTTTGGAAAAAATTATGCTTGACCAGATACAATGCTATTTTACTATAAACAAATTCATAACAGACTTTCAGCACGCTTATAGGGATTGACCTTCAACAAGCACGGCACTTACACAAATGACTGATGATTGGCTGAGAGAAATTGATTATAAAAAGATTGTGGGAGCTGTTTTGTTAGACTTCAGCGCGGCTTTTTGACATTATCGATCATAGTCTGCTGATGGAAAAGCGTATGTGTTATGGCTTTACACCCCTTGCTATATTGTGGATAAAGAGTTACCCGTCTAACAGAACACAGAGGGTGTTCTTTAATGGAAGCCTCTCCAACATAATCCAGGTAGAATCAGGAATTCCCCAGGGCAGCTGGCTAGGCCCCTTAGTTTTTTCTATCTTTACTAATGACTTGCCACTGGCCTTGAGTAAAGCCAGTGTGTCTAGGTATGCGGATGACTCAGACACGCACTCTACACACACGTACACATGGATTTTGTATTGTAGACATGTGATAGTAGAATAGTGGCCTGAGGGAACACACTTAATGTGTTGGGTAAAGTGTTATGAAATGTAATGTCATGTAACATTTTAAATTGTATATAACTGCCTTAATGTTGCTGGACCCCAAGAAGAGTAGCTGCTGCCTTGGCAGGAACTAATGGGGATCCTTAATAAATACAATACAATTTACAGTGGTTGGTCAGACAGACATGGGCCTTCTTTAAACACACTAGGAGGAAGTTGTGGTCAGCTTACCCTCCCTCAATCCTAACCTCAACCATTAGGGTGAAAACACAAATCTGTCCAATATCTTAGGGACATCACTGGCTGGCATTAGTAAGACACCGCACATTTACTGTATGAAACCGTATTCTGTAATGTTCTTTCATACTGTTCTAGCATTGCCAGGAATGTACACAAACTGTGTGCTCTCCAGTTTAATGGAAAACCCAAATGAATGATGAAACTGGGCCCTAGAGGCCCTACAACAACAGTTAGTATCCATGGTGGTTAACCCTGACCCAGGCCCTCCTTTCTAATGGCTAAGTTGATGGTGGTAAGGGAAGTTGATTCTGAACCAGTGTTTTTCTCCTTACCCTCGGCCTGCTGCTGGTTGTGCAGCCTGCGGATGGCCTCTCCTCTCGTCACAGACAGAGTACAGGTCAGACTCCTCAGCAACTCCTCCTCCTGCACCCCAAACTGACCCTGAGAAGGCAAACACACACAAATATTAAAGGGATACTTCAGGATTTTGGCAATGATCCTTTATGATCCTTCAGCTACTTCCCCAGAGTCATTTTTATGTCTCTGCATCCAGTATAAAGGAAGTTAGAGGTAGTTTCGCAAGTGAATGCTAACTAGCTTTAGCACAATGACTGGAAGTGTATGGTATCTACTAGCATGCTAGCAGTTACCATTGACTTCCAGTCATTGCACTAGATTGCGCTAATGCTAGTCAGCAACTTCCATCAAACTGCACACAGAGACATACAAATAGTTTCCACGAGTTAATCTGATTCTGGGGAAGTAGATAAAGGGCTTCATTTCCAAAATCCTGAAGTATCCCTTTAACATACAGAAACATAGGCCTACACAGAAAGTGTACAAAGTACACAAGCTTACACACAATAGCTCCTATATAACCCAGCCCCAAGGCCCTTTTAGCCCAGACGTGGCACTACTGAACATGCAAAGCTAAGGTCATGGCATTGCTAGGCAATGCTAGGCATGCCAAAACCTGCCACACAAAGATCATCCTCAGACAGCGATACTTTCAATTAATCAATGTCAAAAAAGGGGAAACAGTCCTAATGCTATAGTTTTTACTATTAGCCCTCAAAAGGTATAGTTCACTCAAACTATACATTTGCTTCATATCTGGATACCCAGTAGTAGTCAGTAGTAGTGAGTGGATAGTTAGGAACCAAAGATTAACAGTTTAGCATTAGGATCACTAAGGGAGAAGCCATTACAGTGGTCGGACCCCTGCTGTTAGCGTGCTCCAATCACCCCTGTTGTTAGCGTGCCCTAATCACCCCTGCTGTTAGCGTGCTCTAATCCCCCCTGTTGTTAGCGTGCTCCAATCACCCCTGTTGCTAGCGTGCCCTAATCACCCCTGTTGTTAGCGTGCTCTAATCACCCCTGTTGCTAGCGTGCCCTAATCATCCCTGCTGTTAGCGTGCCCTAATCACCCCTGCTGTTAGCGTGCTCTAATCTCCCCTGCTGTTCGCTTGCTCTAATCCCCCATGATATTAGCGTGCTCTAATACCCCTGCTGTTAGTATGCTCTAATCAACCCTGCTGTTATCATGCTCTAATCACCCCTGCTGGTAGCATGCTCTAATCTCCCCTGCTGGTTGCACCACTCCATTAAACTCCAAATATAGCCCCTTGTGACCTTTTAAAGGCCCTGTGTCTTATCTAAGCTGGCCAGATGTTGCCACCGCCACTGTCTGCCTGGGAGGGCTGCTAATGGGGAGGGACTATGGAGGAGGGGGCAATCATTCACCTGTTTAAATAGAAGGCACGCACATGACCAGTGCGAGTGTGCGAACACATGCACGCACACACACTACCACCTGTTTAAATAGCATGTGGATCTACAGTGAGGGAAGAAAGTATTTGATCCCCTGCTGATTTTGTACGTTTGCCCACTGACAAAGAAATGATCAGTCTATAATTTTAATGGTAGGTTTATTTGAACAGTGAGAGACAGAATAACAACAACAAAATCCAGAAAAATGCATGTCAAAAATGTTATGAATTGATTTGCATTTTAATGAGGGAAATAAGTATTTGACCCCTCTGCAAAACATGACTCAGTACTTGGTGGCAAAACCCTTGTTGGCAATCACAGAGGTCAGACGTTTCTTGTAGTTGGCCACCAGGTTTGCACACATCTCAGGAGGGATTTTGTCCCACTCTTCTTTGCAGATCTTCTCCAAGTCATTAAGGTTTCGAGGCTGACATTTGGCAACTCGAACCTTCAGCTCCCTCCACAGCTTTTCTATGGGATTAAGGTCTGGAGACTGGCTAGGCCACTCCAGGACCTTAATGTGCTTCTTCTTGAGCCACTCCTTTGTTGCCTTGGCCGTGTGTTTTGGGTCATTGTCATGCTGGAATACCCACCCATTTTCAATGCCCTGGCTGAGGGAAGGAGGTTCTCACCCAAGACTTGACGGTACATGTTCCCGTCCATCGTCCCTTTGATGCGGTGAAGATGTCCTGTCCCGTTAGCAGAAAAACACCCCCAAAGCATAATGTTTCCACCTCCATGTTTGACGGTGGGGATGGTGTTCTTGGGGTCATAGGCAGCATTCCTCCTCCTCCAAACACGGCGAGTTGAGTTGATGCCAAAGACCTCCATTTTGGTCTCATCTGACCACAACACTTTCACCCAGTTCTCCTCTGAATCATTCAGATGTTCATTGGCAAACTTCAGACAGGCATGTATATGTGCTTTCTTGAGCAGGGGGACCTTGCGGGCGCTGCAGGATTTCAGTCCTTCACGGCGTAGTGTGTTACCAATTGTTTTCTTGGTGACTATGGTCCCAGCTGCCTTGAGATCATTGACAAGATCCTCCCGTGTAGTTCTGGGCTGATTCCTCACCGTTCTCATGATCATTGCAACTCCACAAGGTGAGATCTTGCATGGAGCCCCAGGCCGAGGGAGATTGACAGTTATTTTGTGTTTCTTCCATTTGCAAATAATCGCACCAACTGTTGTCACCTTCTCACCAAGCTGCTTGGTGATGGTCTTGTAGCCCATTCCAGCCTTGTGTAGGTCTAAAATCTTGTCCCTGACATCCTTGGAGAGCTCTTTGGTCTTGGCCATGGTGGAGAGTTTGGAATCTGATTGATTGATTGCTTCTGTGGACAGGTGTCTTTTATACAGATAACAAGCTGAGATTAGGAGCACTCCCTTTAAGAGTGTGCTCCTAATCTCAGCTCGTTACCTGTATAAAAGACACCTGGGAGCCAGAAAACTGTCTGATTGAGAGGGGGTCAAATACTTTTTTCTCTCATTAAAATGCAAATCAATTGATAAAATTTTTGACATGCTCTCTCACTGTTCAAATAAACCTACCATTAAAATTATAGACTGATCATTTCTTTGTCAGTGGGCAAACATACAAAATCAGCAGGGGATCAAATACTTTTTCCCCTCACTGTATGCATACACAAACAAACAGACACAGTAAAACTTGTCAATATCATGCACACACCCAAACTAGTTGAAAAGCACACCAAGAAACACACACAAAAAGTGTCTAAACTGTGTCTCCAGGAGCCAGCAGCTGCCCATGTTAGAAAGGTCAGAGGTCATTTTGTAAGGCGAGTACTGTAGTGATTGCCTCAAAAATCCCCTTGTTTGTTTTACTATGTATACTCAGGACTGATAATGCAGTCAGTTTATTTCCCTAGCTTAGTCGTTGGACCACTTCCTTCGGCTGTATAAACCACTATCAGATGGACTCTTCTCCTGTAAACTGTTGATTCGAACTGTTATTGTAGTTTCTATTTCGTTATGTCAATCCCACTGATGAACATTTATGGAGGAAAGGGGAAAAAATGCTAACTGCTGTCTTGGAAAACACCAACAGGTCAATAAGGAAATTGCTAACGTTAACAGATGCTGCTACCAAACTAGGACAAATGTAATTAAATGTACTCTGTAGCCACCAATTTTCATTATCTTATTCATTAACCTATTGGTTTAGCGGTACCATCCTCTTACGTTCGTAATAATTTATACTGCCACTGTGTCAGACTAGCCATTTCCTTGAGAGCAAAATAAAGAATGGCAGAGAATGAGTAGAGGAGGATGTAGACTCACGGCTGTGGCTTTGAGCCAGCCCATGGACTTGCCAGTGACCCTGAGCGCGTCGGTCTCTGTGGGCTCAAACATGATGTTTCCCAGAGACAGGATCCCTGCCAGGATAGTCATCATGTCTACCTTCTCCTGATGACACAACATATACATATATAATCAGTCCATCTGTCAGTCAATACATCAGTCAATCAATTGGTCATTTATCAATTGGTCAATAACATCTAACAATTTGTTTATCAGTCAATCAACCAATTAGTCCAACATTAAAGTACAATCAGATTCAGATGTTCTACTCAAGGAGAACATGTGAAATCCCAGCCAATGGCACTATGGACGATATGAGTTTGCTTTTATGGCTGACATACTGTAAAAAGGATGGATGAGAAAGAGAGTTTTCCAGTGAGAGGTCTTACCTGTTCCTCAAATCCCACCATGTCCATGGCGTTACACACCTCACTGTACTTCTCCCCCCATTTCCTCACTATGTCCTCAGAGCCGTACCGCCCATTTAGATACCTGACAGACACATAGCCACAGAAACACATTTATACAGATCTGATGAGTGCGCACAGATAAGAACACACACATAGGCTACATATGAAGGAGGCATGATGGTTAACGCATTATGCATATCTGATAGACAAACACTTTGAGGCTTCTACATTGCTGCACTGTATCGTAGGGCACAAAACTGCACTGTATCGTAGGGCACAAAACTGCACTGTATCGTAGGGCACAAAACTGCACTGTATCGTAGGGCACAAAACTGCACTGTATCGTAGGGCACAAAACTGCACTGTATCGTAGGGCACAAAACTGCACTGTATCGTAGGGCACAAAACTGCACTGTATCGTAGGGCACAAAACTGCACTGTATCGTAGGGCACAAAACTGCACTGTATCGTAGGGCACAAAACTGCACTGTATCTTAGGGCACAAAACTGCACTGTATCTTAGGGAACTACAAACATCACATTGTTTAAATACCTAGCATTTCACTCCAGGCCTAGGCCTGTTCAATTGTCAAGAAGAAGTGAAATACAAGTAGCATACACATACTGTACAACACTGAGAACTATGTGGTCGCTATTTGTATACGCCATAAGAACCAAAAAAGGCAGGAAGGAACATTAAGCCTTGATATCAGACTTCCAAAACAAACACCTTGGTTTATGTCAGGAAAAACAAACAAAAAAAAAAAATATTGAGAGTGTGACCTATGACACTTTGTGGTACTATCTAACTTCCCGGACCACAGTCACTCTGTTGCACCTCACAGAGTCATCGCTACCTGTGGAGGAAACGTTGCAGAAAGATGACATCACAGTGGACCCACCTGTACTGCGTGGGATCCAGGAGTCCATACATGTCTTTGTCGTCTGGGGAGATGCCGGCCAGCATGCAGTAGAAGATATGGAAGTTCCTTTCGCCCTCATCCTGGTGGACCACACGAGACTTCTCCAGGAGGTACTCATTGATCTTAGCTCCTTTTACTGTTAGAGCACAGCACCACACACACACATACACACACGGACACACACATACACACACGGACACACACATACACACACGGACACACACATACACACACATACACACACGGACACACACATACACACACGGACACACACATACACACACGGACACACACATACACACGCGGACACACACAGGATCAGTGTTAAAACACATGAAACGCTCATGCTACATGTAATGTCTGTCGTATCAATGCAATCATCACATACATTCAGTGTATAAATAAACACATTTGAACATAAGTACACACAGTAGATGATGAATAAACCGTCACACACACACACCTGAGGAGTTGTGGAAGCGCAGCTGAATGTACTTCCCGAAGCGACTGCTGTTGTCATTCATCACAGTCTGGGCATTGCCAAAGGCCTCCAGCAGAGGATTCACCTAGAAATACCATACAGTACAAGATTAGTACAGCGCCAGAACTTACATCATGGTGATCCTAAATGGGGCCTGGAGTTTTACATGTCCAAGCCCTAATCATAAGACATGGATAGATTCTTGATATCAAAGACATTTGCAACCTTCCATGAGGCATATACAGCATTAGAGTAGTTCACTAGCCATGTGCCTGACCACACTTCATTAGAGGGGAACCAAGGCCAGCTGGCAGAGGGGCTAAGCATCAAAACACACTAAGGGTTGTATCATCTGATAAACAAGTGAAGAATGATAGCATTGTTCTCTGGATGCAATACAATACAGAATTCATGACCAGTGAAACCTTTCACTTGTTTCCTGACTAGTAAAGACAATGAAGGTTAAGGCTGTGGTACTTTGAAACAAAATCAAATCAAATTTTATTTGCCACACGTGCCGAATACAACAGGTGTAGACATTACAGTGAAATGTTTACTTACAAGCCCTTAACCAACAATGCAGTTTTTTTAAGAAAGAAAAAAGTAAAATAAAAAAAGTGTTAAGTAAAAAAATAAAAGCAAATAACTAAAGAGCATCAGTAAAATAGAAATAACAGTAGGGAAGCTATATATACAGGGGTACCGGTACAGAGTCAATGTGCGGGGGCACCGGCTAGTCGAGGTAATTGAGGTAATATGTACATGTGGGTAGAGTTAAAGTGACTATGCATAATTAATAAACAGAGTAGCAGCCGCGTAAAAGAAGGGGATGGGGTGGGGTGGGGGGGGCAATGCAAATAGTCTGGGTAGCCATGATTAGCTGTTCAGGAGTCTTATAGCTTGGGGGTAGAAGCTGTTGAGAAGCCTTTTGGACCTAGACTTGGCACTCCGGTACCGCTTGCCATGCGGTAGCAGAGAGAACAGTCTATGACTAGGGTGGCTGGAGTCTTTGATAATTTTGAGGGCCTTCCTCTGACACCGCCTGGTATAGAGGTTCTCCAGAGAGGGTAGAAGCTGTACCACACTACCAGAGCAGCAAGGTCAAGAGTTTTCCCCAGGGGAAATGAATACCAAAGTCAAAGGTCATTGGATTAATTAGTAAATTAATGATATCTGACACCTCAGGAGAATATAGGAAGTGAAAGTTGGACGAGGAAGACAATGCCGTTATTCAGGAGCAAAGAGATGGCACATTGTAGCTGTAAAACACTTTGTAACATGTCCTTCGACTCGATATAACTTGATTACAAGTCATGTCAGTGTGTTGAACTCTAGCAGGCCATTAAAAATTATGTGGTGGTGATCATTTTTGCACACAGGTTGATAAGTCAACAGTCAACATTAGCAAACATATAAAAGCATGCAGCAAGAGCAATATACTCGTTTTTAAACAATATTGCAAAACACATTATTCTAATGAAACCAATGTCCTGGCTGTAACCACATTGAGGGGATTGCATGCTGAGGTAGGAGTCAATGACACAGGATTTCCTCTCAGCCTTTCAACATATTTCACAGTTTTAACCTCTTCTAAATTCTCACTTCCTCCATCCCGTCAATTACCAGGCCAACTGTTGAGGACAGTCAGAGAGGGTAGAAGCTGTACCATATTTGGAATAGTCAAGTGAGATCGTCAATACCATTTACTTGTTCCAGGGAGCACTTTAAGTGATTTAAGTGATTTATGAAAAGAGTTTGCATTATTAGTATAATTTGCATTATGAATGTTTATTTGGACTCAGTGAACCTAAGATTGGCTCAAACTCATCAGAAGACCGCAAGAGAAAAGCAGGGGGAAATGGAAGATGTGAAACTCTGGAAAATATGTTGTTTTGACTGCTGGAACTCTGTACTCCTTCTCTGGCTCTCCCAATTATCCCTGATTGAGTGGCATAGAAAAACATGTGGCTACAGTATATCTGGCAACCCATATTTCCATTCTTACTGTGTTTTCTAGAAGTGGTCAGATGAACTACATTTTCCACTGTTCCTAAAAGGTCTAGAATACTTAATGAGCAACCTGACTGAAGAGAACATGCAGCTGTAACACTTTTGTGTTAGAGAATAAGCAGCGAATGTACAGTACCTGGGCTCAGTACATTACAGAATACTGACCTAAGCCATACAAGATAATCAAATCCATATCTACTCTAACCACATCCACATGTACCCCGAAATAACATCAGTGTAATATAAAGTGTTGTCAAACACAGCCTTTCTCTGAACCCTAGCTCACAGCCAAGGAGCCAGCCAATCACTCCCACCAAGTCCCAGTGATGCAATTCCCCAGAAAGGCTGGAGGAATTTCCCACACTTCCTAGTTTTCCTCGAGGCTCTCAGTCTCATCACATATCCCACAGAGAACTTCTCGTACCATGAGACAGGCGTGAGAAAACAGGGGCCGGAGAGAGACGTCGGTCAAGTTTGTGTGTTTACAATAGTACTCATCACAGCGGGGGAGCCAAGAGGAAGTAAAAAGGGGAAGAAAAGTAAAACATCCATGGTGTTATGATATTCCATTTGGGTTTCCAAAATGGTGGGAAGGAAGTGTCTCTTGGGTCGTGTCAGAAAACCAGAAACAAGGTTTTGTTTATTTGGCGGGTCACAAGAACATTCGAAAGCTTTTAGTTCGGTCACAATGCGAACAAGTTTGGTAACCAATGCAATACAGTGGACCGTACTGTAGTACAATAAGAACAAGCACAGCGCTATGACACTATCTTATTTCACAAGGACCATCCTCAACATGTGTCCAATTACATTTCAAAGGGATGTGCATTAGAGCATACTTCTCCAATATCAATCAAAGCAGATCATGACCTTTGGCCTTGATGGATGACAATCCCATACCATCATACTGTATATGTAGCCATTAGATCAGGTTATCATGGCATCACTTGATTGATGCTATATCATAATTTCAAGTATCGGTTGCTGAACACTGCTATGAATGAGGGGTTACACACAGCATATTTGAAACAACAGAAGACAGAGACCATCCCTTCTGCCCCCTTTCCCTCAAGCTGCCAAGATAGTCAACAATGCTGAACATGGGCACAACTTTGGTTTTAGATGTGGGGTGGGGACATTTTGTCTTTTTTTTATCCAGTCGGATAAACACTTCCGGCCCCGGTGCACAACTGAGCAAGAGGACAAATACATTAGAGTGTCTAGTGTGAGGAACAGACGCCTCACAGGTCCTCAACTGGCAGCTTCATTAAATAGTACCCGCAAAACACCAGTCTCAAAGTCAACAGTGAAGAGGCGACTCCAGGATGCTGACCTAGGCAGAGTTGCAAAGAAAAAGCCATATCTCAGACTGGCCAATAAAAATAAAAGATTAAGATAGATAAAAGATCACAGACACTGGACTTTTTCTTTGCAACTCTGCATAGGTCAGCATCCCACAGGACTAATGGTTGCTGATAATGGGCCTCTGTACGCCTATGTAGATATTCCATTAAGAAAATCAGCCGTTTCCAGCTACAATAGCCATTTACAACATTAACAATGTCTACACTGTATTTCTGATCAATTTGATGTTATTTTAATGGACAAAAAAATTGCTTTTCTTTCGAAAACCAGGACATTTCTAAGTGATCCCAAACTTTTGAACGGTAGTGTATATATATATGAGAACATAAGTGGAAGAGCTGTAAAACATCTCAATATACATATATATACACAGTGCATTCGGAAAGTATTCAGACCTCTTCCCCTTTTCCACATTTTGTTACGTTAGTCTTATTCTAAAATGGGTTAAATAAATAAAAATCCTGAATCCTAAAAAACAGAAATACCTTATTTACATAAATATTCAGACCCTTTGCTATGAGACTCGAAATTGAGTTCAGGTGCAACCTGTTTCCATTGATCATCCTTGAGATGTTTCTACAACTTGATTGGAGTCCACCTGTGGTAAATTAAATTGATTGGACATGATTTGGAAAGGCACACACCTATCTATATAAGGTCCCACAGTTGACAGTGCATGTCAGAGCAAAAACCAAGCCATGAGGTCGAAGGAATTGTCCGTAGAGCCAGGATTGAGTCGAGGCACAGATCTGGGGAAGGGTACCAAAACATTTCTGCAGCATTGAAGGTCCCCAAGGACACAGTGGCCTCCATCATTCTTAAATGGAAGAAGTTTGGAACCACCAAGACTCTTCCTAGAGCTGGCTGCCCGGCCAAACTGAGCAATCAGGGGAGAAAGGCCTTGGTCAGGGAGGTGACCAAGAACCCGATAGTCACTGACAGGGCTCCAGAGTTCCTCTGTGGAGATAGGAGAACCTTCCAGAAGGACAACCATCTCTGCAGCACTCCACCAATCAGGCCTTTATGGTAGAGTGGCCAGACGGAATTCACTCCTCAGTAAAAGGCACGACAGCCCGCTTGGAGTTTGCCAAAAGGCACCTAAAGGACTCTCAGACCATGAGAAAAAAGATTATCTGGTCTGATGAAACTAAGATTGAACTCTTTGGCCTGAATGCCAAGCGTCACGTCTAGAGGAAACCTGGCACCATCCCTACCGTGAAGCAAGTGGTGGCAGCATCATGCTGTGGGGATGTTTTTCAGCGGCTGGGACTGGGAGACTAGTCAGCATCGAGGGAAAGATGAACGAAGCAAAGTACAGAGAGATCCTTGATGAAAACCTGCTTTCAGAGCGCTCAGGACCTCAGACTGGGGCGAAGGTTCACCTTCCAACAGGAAAACAACCCTAAGCACACAGCCAAGAGAACGCAGGAATGGCTTCGGGACAAGTTTCTGAATGTCCTTGAGTGGCCCAGCCAGAGCCCGGACTTGAACCCGATCGAACATCTCTGGAGAGACCGGAAAATAGCTGTGCAGCGACGCTCCCCATCCAACCTGACAGAGCTTGAGAGGATCTGCAGAGAAGAATGGGAGAAACTCCCCAAATACAGGTGTGCCAAGCTTGTAGCGTCATACCAAAGAAGACCAGAGGCTGTAATCGCTGCCAAAGGTGCTTCAACAAAGTACTGAGTAAGGGGTCTGAATACTTATGTAAATGTGATATTTCAGTTTCTCAAAACCTGTTTTTGCTTTGTCATTATGGGGTATTGTGTGTAGATTGATGAGGGGGGGAAACAATTTAATCCATTTTAAAATAAGGCTGTAACGTAACAATGTGGAAAAATTCAAGGAGTCTGAATACTTTCCGATTGCACTGTATAGGCATAAAATATTAGTAGAATCCAGAATTTGTTTCTGTAGCATTGGAGTTAACCTTGAGCTAATACAGGCCAGACAAAACAGACAAGGCAGTCCAGTCTTATCTAGGGATCTCTATAGTTCCTCATTTCCTTCAGACTTAGAGGGTTTCCTCCTTTCATTTTTATAAACAAACCAAAGAAAATGTCCTACGATGTCAAACTGCATGTAGCCAATCCATGTCTATCATTTCTGGACTGGGATTCCGTGTTGGGCGAGTTCAAACCGGTATACTCCACTGTGCCGTCTCATCAGCTACACGTCCAACAAGAAAAACATGCTTTGGTGTTATTGGGTAATGTGTTGCCGTTTGACTTAGGGCCAACTGAAACTGCAGAGTCTTGTTTATGGTATATAGTAGGTAATCTGAGACTAGGATCTACGAGAGGTGTGCAATGAACTGAGGTCTATGCCAATTGGTTAATTTCCCAATTGTTGGCATCTGCATAGTGCATGGTGTGCTCTGTTTGTTGGTACAGAATGGTGAACACTGAGACTTAGGTAACCTAACCTGTTATTATACCTTCTAGAACACACCTCTTTATCACTGCTACATTCTCTGACCAAGCAGTGGGCAGGCCTATGGGAATACAACAATCAAGGCTATTTCAAGAAAAGCCCTTTCTTTAATGCAATCGTGACATTTAATTGTTTCTCTCCCATAAAAACCAAGTCAACCTGAAGGTGGGGCCGTAAAAGAACAAAGTAGGACCTTAAACGGCCTATTTTCCACTGAGTGACACACTAAAATGGCTGACACACAGACGTTGGAATGATGCCGCGTTCAAAACAACTAGGAACTCGGAACTCAGAAATCTTCAACTTCTGACTTCAGTGCGTTCAAAACAACTGGGAACTCGGAAGAAAACGAGCTCCAACTGGGAAAAATCGATTTGAACGGTTATCCAACTCGGAATTCCAACTCGGGAACTTGGGCCTCTTTCCAGAGCTCCGACTTTCCGACCTGAAGATCACTGATGTCATGATTTGACCAGAGTTCCCAGTTGTTTCGAACGCGGCATGAGTGTTACGAACAGGTCACAAGCCCTGTATTTACTGTGACAACTACACACAGAGATGAAGATCAAGATGGTGACGTCATCAATGTGTTACCGCACGTCCTTCATCAGTCCTCCATCAATGCTACTGCTGCTGCATACTCTGAAAATAAGCTGGCAAACTAGCTTTGGATCAGTGTCTAGGGGCAACATCATCCAACTCCCATTCAAACTATGTTTGAGGCATTGGCAATAAGAGGAGTGTCCCATTCTGTTCGTATCATGTAAATTCCATATCCATATTGATTTAAATTGAGGTATGAGGGCAAGCCTGAGGTGTGTTAGAAGGGATGTGTCGAAACTGGTCTACTCTGTTAGCTGTAGTATCTGTCTCTCATACAGTGGGGAAAAAAAGTATTTAGTCAGCCACCAATTGTGCAAGTTCTCCCACTTAAAAAGATGAGAGAGGCCTGTAATTTTCATCATAGGTACACGTCAACTATGACAGACAAAATGAGAAAAAAAATCCAGAAAATCACATTGTAGGATTTTTAATGAATTTATTTGCAAATTATGGTGGAAAATAAGTATTTGGTCAATAACAAAAGTTTCTCAATACTTTGTTATATACCCTTTGTTGGCAATGACACAGGTCAAACGTTTTCTGTAAGTCTTCACAAGGTTTTCACACACTGTTGCTGGTATTTTGGCCCATTCCTCCATGCAGATCTCCTCTAGAGCAGTGATGTTTTGGGGCTGTCGCTGGGCAACACAGACTTTCAACTCCCTCCAAAGATTTTCTATGGGGTTGAGATCTGGAGACTGGCTAGGTCACTCCAGGACCTTGAAATGCTTCTTACGAAGCCACTCCTTCGTTGACCGGGCGGTGTGTTTGGGATCATTGTCATGCTGAAAGACCCAGCCACGTTTCATCTTCAATGCCCTTGCTGATGGAAGGAGGTTTTCACTCAAAATCTCACGATACATGGCCCCATTCATTCTTTCCTTTACACGGATCAGTCGTCCTGGTCCCTTTGCAGAAAAACAGCCCCAAAGCATGATGTTTCCACCCCCATGCTTCACAGTAGGTATGGTGTTCTTTGGATGCAACTCAGCATTCTTTGTCCTCCAAACACGACAAGTTGAGTTTTTACCAAAAAGTTATATTTTGGTTTCATCTGACCATATGACATTCTCCCAATCCTCTTCTGGATAATCCAAATGCACTCTAGCAAACTTCAGACGGGCCTGGACATGTACTGGCTTAAGCAGGGGGACACGTCTGGCACTGCAGGATTTGAGTCCCTGGCGGCGTAGTGTGTTACTGATGGTAGGCTTTGTTACTTTGGTCCCAGCTCTCTGCAGGTCATTCACTAGGTCCCCCCGTGTGGTTCTGGGATTTTTGCTCACCGTTCTTGTGATCATTTTGACCCCACGGGGTGAGATCTTGCGTGGAGCCCCAGCCCCAGATTTCTTCAAACCAAGCTGCTTACCTATTGCAGATTCAGTCTTCCCAGCCTGGTGCAGGTCTACAATTTTGTTTCTGGTGTCCTTTGACAGCTCTTTGGTCTTGGCCATAGTGGAGTTTGGAGTGTGACTGTTTGAGGTTGTGGACAGGTGTCTTTTATGCTGATAACAAGTTCAAACAGGTGCCATTAATACAGGTAACGAGTGGAGGACAGAGGAGCCTCTTAAAGAAGAAGTTACAGGTCTGTGAGAGCCAGAAATCTTGCTTGTTTGTAGGTGACCAAATACTTATTTTCCATCATAATTTGCAAATAAATTCATTAAAAATCCTACAATGTGATTTTCTGGAAAAATAATTCTCAATTTGTCTGTCATAGTTGACGTGTACCTATGATGAAAATTACAGGCCTCTCTCATCTTTTTAAGTGGGAGAACTTGCACAATTGGTGGCTGACTAAATACTTTTTTCCCCCACTGTACCTGCAGCACCCAACCCAATTTGTTATTACTGTCATTTGTCTGATATAAGTCAGCATTGTTATAGGTATAATAACAGACCTCTGTCTTCCCGGCAATATCTGTTGCTCCCTATTAGTATTAGATAGTATGAGAATGACAGATTTCTTTCCTGCAATATGTTAGTATTGGTGTAGGGTCTTACCTGTAGTATCTGTTGCTCCAGCTGAGAGTTGGCTCTGCACAGCTCCATGATCTGTCTGAGCAGCAGCTTAGTGCTCTCTGTCTTCCCTGCTCCACTCTCCCCACTGTGTAACAAGTACAGGACACCATTCTAAATAAGTGTATCAGTGGAGCTACAGTTGAAGTCGGAAGTTTACATACACTTTAGCCAAATACATTTAAACTCAGTTTTTCACAATTCCTGACATTTAATCCTGGGTAAAAAGTCCCTGTCTTAGGTCAGTTAGGATCACCACTTTATTTTAAGAATGTGAAATGTCAGAATAATAGTAGAGAGAATTATTTATTTAAGCTTTAATTTCTTTCATCACATTCCCAGTGGGTCAGAAGTTTACATATACTAAATTATTATTTGGTAGCATTGCCTTTAAATTGTTTAACTTGGGTCAAACGTTTCGGGTAGCCTTCCACAAGCTTCCCACAATAAGTAGGGTGAATTTTGGCCCATTCCTCCTGACAGAGCTGGTGTAACTGAGTCAGGTTTGTAGGCCTCCTTGCTCGCACACACTTTTTCAGTTCTGCCCACAAATTTTCTATAGGATTGAGGTCAGGGCTTTGTGATGGCCACTCCAATACCTTGACTTTGTTGTCCTTAAGCCATTTTGCCACAACTTTGGAAGTATGCTTGGGGTCACTGTCCATTTGGAAGACCCATTTGTGACCAAGCTTTAATTTCATGACTGATGTCTTGAAATGTTGCTTCAATATATCCACATAGTTTTCCTTCCTCATGATGCCATCTATTTTGTGAAGTGCACCAGTCCCTCCTGCAGCAAAGCACCCCCACAGCATGATGCTGCCACCCCCGTGCTTCATGTTTGGGATGGTGTTCTTCAGCTTGCAAGCATCCCCCTTTTTCCTCCAAACATAACGATGGTCATTATGGCCAAACAGTTCTATTTTTGTTTCATCAGACCAGAGGACATTTCTCCAAAAAGTACGATCTTTGTCCCCATTTGCAGTTGCAAACCGTAGTCTGGCTTTTTTATGGTGGTTTTGGAGCAGTGGCTTCTTCCTTGCTGAGCGGCCTTTCAGGTTATGTCGATATAGGACTCGTTGTACTGTGGATATAGATACTTTTGTACCTGTTTCCTCCTGCATCTTCACAAGGTCCTTTGCTGTTGTTCTGGGATTGATTTGCACTTTTCGCACCAAAGTACGTTAATCTCTAGGAGACAGAACGCGTCTCCTTCCTGAGCGGTATGACGGCTGCGTGGTCCCATGGTGTTTATACTTGCGTACTATTGTTTGTACAGATGAACGTGGTACCTTCAGGCGTTTGGAAATTGCTCCCAAGGATGAACCAGACTTGTGGAGGTCTACACATTTTTTTCTGAGGTCTTGGCTGATTTATTTTGATTTTCCCATGATGTCAAGCAAAGAGGCACTGAGTTTGAAGGTAGGCCTTGAAATACATCCACAGGTACACCTCCAATTGACTCAAATGATGTCAATTAGCCTATCAGAAGCTTCTAAAGCCATGACAACATTTTCTGGAATTTTCCAAGCTGTTTAAAGGCACAGTCAACTTAGTGTATGTAAACTTCTGACCCACTGGAATTGTGATACAGTGAATTATAAGTGAAATAATCTGTCTGTAAACAATTGTTGGAAAAATTACTTGTGTCATGCACAAAGTAGATGTCATAACCGACTCGCCAAAACTATAGTTTGTTAACAGGAAATTTGTGGAGTGGTTGAAAAACAAGTTTTAATGACTCCAACCTAAGTGTATGTAAACTTCCGACTTCAACTGTATGTAGCACGGCTGTAGTATGACATTGAATATGGACATTTTCTCAATTGCTCAAATTCAAAGAAGAAAAAAGCAGAGATAGACATTCTGAACACTGTGACTGGCAGATTCATTTGGCACAGATAACACAATCACTATACAGTGTCACCTCAGAATGTCATCCGACTTTTTAATCTACCTTGTTCTGAACCATATTCCTAATTAAGCTAGGCTTCAACATGATTGTTTACAAGCGTGTTCATGTTTCTAGTGACCCAGAATTAGAAGGACATTTGGCAGCCAAATTGCAGGAGATTGATGTATCTCTCTACCAAACTGATAAGCAGTACACATGAGTGAGTACTTGAAAACCAGTGCAGGGTTTTGCATAGGACATGCAAATATGCATGTGCGGCTGATAGTGGCTTCACTGTATTTAGGCTACACTGTTGATGCCAGGATGCGCCTTTCTGCCAAGGGGAGAAAGCCAAACATGGCCTAGGGCTATTGTGATAAGCTCTGATTGCAAATGGCATTTCACTAATAAATGTTTTTAAATCAAATTTAAATGCTGGGCATGTTTCGATGACATCAGCACTAGTTGTTTTTCCATTATACCATCAGTCTTCTTGACTTTCTGCATAAAGTTTGCGTCAAACCTCTCTACATTCACCAACTGCAAGTTCATGTCCAAGAACAACACTCATAGTTTAAAATCCTGGGAGAACTGATAAGGCCTGGCGGTTGAATGCATTTTCTCCTTATTCCCATGTATTGTCTAGGCTCCACAGCAACTCTATAGCATGTTTATTGGCCTACAATGAAGCAAGATAAAAGCCATTGTCATATAATATACATTTTGCCTATTGAACGTTTTACCCCTTTTGTCTGTGTTATTTACATCCTAACATTTGGGTATAACTACGCATTTAGGCTGGTGTTTTCTCTCCCTGACATTGTATAGGTCATGGTAGGTCGTCAATCACATTCTTTCCTTGTTGCCTCAAACAATTATTAGCCTCATTCAGCCCCTTCCACCCCCTGACTGGCTGACTGGCTCATTCATCAGTGACATCGCTGTAACCCAGGACGACTGGCCCCATTCAAACAATGCTGAGGCTGCTGGGAAGGCATGCGCTTGGAACAACAAAAGGGCAAATACTATACAACCAACAACCGCATAGATCAGGAAAAGTACACAAGTCCTTCCATTCATGCCTTCATGTATTTATATAAGCCCCCCTCTTTCCAGATGGATCCACAAGCTTCTGTGGATGTAAAACAGAACAGAAACATCTCACTTTCATTGTAGGGTCGATATGGTTTCAGCAAAAGTTTATCAATCAACCTGTCCACAGATGCAAACTACACATATTGCCATTCTTAAAGTTTCAGACTAAGAGAAAACATGTAACAAATATAGGAATGCTTGTAAATCAGTTTATAAGCTTTCAGATGTGTTCACCCTTCCTGTCTACGAATCATTTGCATTAACACCTGCTTCCGGCCATGAATACCCTCATGTTTCACTTTCCTAAAAAGGACACAGCTGGAGAATCCATGGTCTGGTTTGCTGATGTTACTTTTCAGTCTAAAGTTGTATGTTATGCCATTTGACATTTTATCTTAGAGAAAAGGGGTAAAAAGTGGCTTAAATTATTAAACATTCACACACAGGTTGCATATATTTCACTTTCATTGAAGTGACAACGTGTTTGAAATTACAGTATTCAAATCCCTACACCGACATCTAAAAACACAGGGAGGGGCTGTAGCCTGCAGCAGTGGAGAGCAAAGTACAGTACAAAATATCCTCCACTGAAATGATTGACAGGGCTAAAGTTAAGCTCCTAAACCTCTGATAAACCCATTGAGGAGAACCTCCCTCATGTTAACCAAGTTTACTGTAGGTTTATGCCGGGGTAGAACTTCAGTGTAAGTTTATTCCTTAGGGAGGGATCCACATTACTGTAGTGGAAACCTCTGTAGCTTGATACCGGATGCTGCAGTCACATGTGATCTGACCAAGCTCCACTGCTATGGTAGTATTGTAATTATGAGTCCCAAAACTGCTGTAAAATCATTTCCAGGAGATTTTTGGGGGATAACTATGGAAATCTAGGATACCAGACAGGAACCATGAGCAGTAGGTTATGAAAAATGCTCAGATGAGAGAGAGAGGGAGAGAGAAAGAAAGAAAGGGAGAGTACAAGAAAGAGATGTGTTTTTCTTCCATCTGCAATAAAGGGATGCCGTATTTCACGCTAGATGAAGGCCACCAGAGGCAGATGAGGAAAACGGTGTGTTCTCACCAGGAGGCTACACAAGACTTCTTCACTATGGCAGCATATAGCAGCAGGGTAATGCTGACATGATGCAAGCCTGGGCCTGCTGATCTGCAGCCACAACAAACACGGGCACAGCTAAGCTGTCAATGTGAGCATAAAAGAGAACCGCTAACACTGAGCAAAGCACAACCACCTGACATTGGTGTTAGTTGCTGTTTGACGGGAAATGTCTGGATAGTGTTCAAGATGCCTTATAACTTTTTCACACTTTCGTGCCAACCCAAACTGAACCATGCTTGTAACAACGGTTAATAAAACCGTTGGTTAACTTGCCGGTTCACGTAATAAAATGTTGAACGGTTATAATGTACATCTACAGGATGTACACTAACAGTCAAAAGTTTGGACACACCTACTCATTCAAGGGTTTTTCTTTATTTTTAAAAATGTTTACATTAAAGAATAATAGTGAAGACATCAAAACTATGAAATAACACATATGGAAACACGTAGTAAACAAAAAAAGTGTTAAAGCTAGAGTGTGCAAAGCTGTCATCAAGGCAAAGGGTGGCTATTTGAAGATTCTCAAATATAAAATATACTTTGATTTGTTTAACACTTTTTTGGTTACTACATCAATTCCATATGTGTTATTTCATTTAATTTCATTTGAATGAGATTGAGCTTGTCCGTGCTGGTAATGCAAGTGGTAAAGTCGATATCCACGTTCATAAACACAGGGTCGCTACAGTTATTGTTATTTGAGGTTGTAATCATTATTTTTTTGTTAATTCAATGAGGGGAGAGGGTGTGCACATTTTTTTAAGTACAAGGGGAGGTTCATGTGAAAATATTTGTTTGCGTTGGGGAGGGGGGTGCATTTTGTTATGACACCTCGAGTAAAAACATTTAATAATTAAAGCTGCAGCTGTGTGTCCACTGTGCCACCATCAGGAAAAATTTGACACATTGTCCTAGGATGAGTTACTATTGTACTGTTTACCACGCTTGCCAAATATCAGAACCAGTGGCGATTTTAGCATGTAAATCTTG